GGCCTAGGCTACAATAATTTATTTTTCACAGATATTCTTCCATTATTTATTATTTTCAACGATAAGCTGACTTTCTTACCTCTTTGCATCCTTCGGAAATCTAAAGAATGATAAACCGGGCCAATATTTTGCCGATTTCAGCAATTAATTGCAGAACAATGACTGTCCTACATAACGATAGCCGCCTATTTACATGCACTTCCGGGTACTTGCTGGTTCAATTTGCTTGCTCGCATGGCGCCCATGGTGATTTCACTTTTTCGATCCCAGTTATCTATCTTGCGCCGCATAGCGGCGCTATACGATCTTTGATGACAGTTCTTCAATTTATGCGCTGCTCTCTCTCCCTGTTGTCTGCCCATTTTAACAGAGGGCGCTCTATCAAAACAAAAAAGTTTGCTTCCTTTCTCTCTCCCTCCGCGGTGCGGCGGCGGAAAGCAGCTTTTTCGAGATCAAAAATCCTTTTGATTTAAGAAATTCAAGTTGGCTTTTGGGGATAACAATTTTAACATACCATCCGTAAGGTTAAGTAGACTGAACATTATAATATTATATTGTACGAATGTCGTTTCGGGGACGTAGCTTAGGCTAGGCCTATAAGGCTAAGCCAATCCCAATATAAAGCAGCCCATGCCATGCCTTACCTACCACCACAACTGGACCACATGGCATTACATTATGACCTAGAGGCCTAGACCTCTAGGTCATAATGCAACTGTGTTGAGGGACAAGTATTAACTTTACCCTCGGTTACTTTTTTACATACGTCAAATAATAAGCTCTTATTCCACTCCAGATGTTGAAATATAAATGGCTGTGGTATTCCTGCCTGGACTCTGGAGTATGATAATAATTTAATTAATATATCAAACAGACAATGAACTGATAGGTTTTTTTTACCTTTTTAACTGATTTGTGTATGGCTCAGGTATATTCCAGCCTTCAAGGTGATGGTTACATGATTATCTTAATTTACCTTGATCTTGTTCATTTGCCCCTCTGCCTAGAAATCTCTTGCATACGCCGGTTTAAACTTCTGGTAGTGCTTTGGGGATGGGGGGGCTTGACATAAACCAATCATTTTATTATCTGTTCTAACAGTGGTGTATGTTCACTACCGTACAATGCACTTGTCATTTGTAGTTCCGCCCCCCCCCCCCTTGGACCCGGACCATAACGGGGCACTAGCCGGGACTGAGCAGGGGATGTACACATACTGTAGTTGTGTCCCTGTAGTGCCGGGACGTGCCTAAAATTTTCCCGTACTGTAGATGTAACAGGCCTTGGAAAGGCTGGGAATTTTACACGTTAGAGAAGCCGCTGTTTTGGGTATGTAAGGGGCCTAGTGCTGGGGGGGGGGGGTACAATTGACAAGTGCATAATTAATAGCCTACTAAACTAGTACTCAAAAATTGTATAGATAATGCTTTTTCTATTTCTGTATTTAACCATAGATATAGTACAATGGATGAATTGATAGAAGAAGATGAGGATGTGGTATTTGAAAATTCACCTCTGTTTCAACACCTGAAAGAAGTTGGAATGGATGGAGATTTTGAGAGTTCTACTTATCCTAAGACTGCAGTCAGAGCACCCACTGAAAAAGAACTTCAAATTTATCCGTTGACGCTAATAAGAAGTTTTTTTCAAAATGTCATTTCTTGTATTCTTCCAACGTCTAGACCAATAACTTCCTTACCTTTAGCACCAAGAGTTGCTCTTCTGAAATCAAAGGTACTGATGTCTGGAGATTATCAATGGTTGATGTCATATGGTTTGAAAGAGAAAAATATTGAAGAAAAAAACAAACAATCCAATTCCAATGTTTTGATCTTTGCTAACTCTGCTATATTTGGATCTATTGCTTGTCTCTGGTTCGTTTTCCGCAACTCATCAGCGCACCAGGTGACGTCAAAATTAATACTGTTGGCTGTTTTGTTATTATCGAGTACATTGATTGGATTGTGCCATTTAACTAAGTTTACAATAAAATGCTACTTTGACTATAAACGATCAAATCTTGCAAAATGTTTGTACAAGCAGCTGAACTTAATGGAACTTATGGACAGCTGTATTAAGAACTCACTGAGAAACATCCAAGAGGCAGAACTAATTGCCAGAGGATTTACTATAATTTCTCACAAAGTTCCATTAATGAAATTGGAAAAAAGTTCACTACTTGGACAATCACGAAGACAACACCATCAGCTTAGAGAAGCGGTCTTTAAGGCCTCTTTATCTCAGTTCTCAACTTATAGAGAAAGTACAAGACAACTTCTCCAGCAAGTAAAGCTTCAATCAGAAGTCGATAATATTGCCAACTACATTGCAAATGTCTCTGAATATGATCTTGGATTTGAAAGGGACCTCAAGAAGATTGCTAATGAAAACTGGACAGAAAAGGATCATCAACATTTAGCAGAAACTTCTGATAATTTCTCTCTTTCTGCTATTAAAGTTGTGTGGCAGACAATGGCAGTTCAGAGGTCAGAGTTCTTGCGTCGCTTTGGTTTGTCTCTTTGTCCAAAGGCCTGGGATGTAAACGGAAAGGATATCTATTATATTTTACCAATCTTAGAAAAGGTTGCAAAATCTTTGATATTAGACACTCAGGGAAATCTTCAAGAGCTCCAGAGGATCAGTGATATACATAAATTCAGCACCAAAAAGCATGATCAAGATGTCTGTAGGACTAGTCTGGCATCTATCTCTAAAGGAAAGTATGGAGAGCTCTGGACAGCAGCACATAGCTTGTATCTACATTTACAGGCTGCAGCGGCACGGGTTCATGAACTGCAGCAGAAATGTGATGCCTTAAATCAAGATAACAGCCAGTCTGATGAAAGTATTAAAGCTGATCTGAACTCTTTGTTAGAGACAGTCAATCCAGAATTGAAAGCATCTTTAGCATGTTATCAAGAAGTTGAAACAAAACTGAACAAATTATATATGAATTCAAAAAATTCTCCAGATGTTCCTATTAACTCTCTTCCTGTTGGTCACCATTCAGGAAATATATCATGTCAGCCAATTCAATTGTTTGGTATAAAAGATGATGAGATAAGGTTTGATGATGAAACGTTTGAGGCTTACACTGATCCCAATGAAGGCGACACTGATGGTAGATTTTCCCTTAGAAACTCGTATCAGGAGGAAACAGGGAAACAGAGGAAAGAGCGACAGGCATCGTTACAGCTCCTTCAGGAACTGAGGTCTGTCTTACCTGGAAGGATGCAAGTGAGAGAACAACTTAAACAGAAGGGCAATAAAAAAGGCACACAACAAAAAGATAACCCTGATGTTGACATCCAGAAAGTCATGGAGAACCAGGAATTGAAATCCATTGAGATGATGTGCGAAGTAGCATCTGGTAACCATTTTATCATCCTTCCACCTTATAAGAATTATCTGTATTGTATCCTAATTTTTACTGTCAATGTATTATTTTTAATTTCTTTACAAAAATAGATTCCAACATTGCCGCAAACCCCTCACTGTTTTTGAGAATAAAAATTTATTATTAAAAACGATCAACGCTGAGTTCAATAAAGATCTCTACATGGTTTAAACACTATCATTGAACACCTCGAAAAGTAATATACATTATTTTCAATCAGCATAATTATGTTTTTTATTAATCGATGATAACATAACTCGTGTAAACGAGATTAAATTTCTGGGTATATAAATTTCTGGGTTATAAAATTTTCTTTATCTGAATTGTTTTTTTTTTTTTCCTTTCAGGTTGTGATACAACTGAGACTTTTAGCAAGGAAAATGATACCAAATATGATTTTGAAAAAGGTGACCCAGGTGTAGATGAAAATACATCTGAGATTGACAACAATCCTGATATATTCTCAAATAATGTTGTACCAAAATGTAACATTGACAAATCTGAACCAGTTATACCAAATCACTATGAGTTGGAGTCTATGGAGAGAGAAATCATAGTTGAAAATGCTGATGATGGTGAGACTATTCAGAGGATGAGTCTACCACCACCACAGTTTGGGGGTGGATTGTGGGCGATGGCTAGTCTTGCATCCCAGACTGCTTCAATGTCAAGTAGATTTCAACAACAGGAAGAGATATTTGGATCAGAAACAGATGAATCAGAATAGGGGGCTTTATTAAACTAAAGGGAATGTTCATCTTTTTAAACAATGTTAGATTTTGTTTTTTTATTATACTGCACTCGGATAACTAATACAGTACTTTAAAGTGTCCCATTTCTTAAATTACAAAATCTAGTTTGTGCTTGTGACGTATATGTTCTTGATTAAATTTGTGCATCGGTGCATCCCAGTTTAGCAAAAGGCCATTGTAATCCATAGGATGGTTCCAAATACAGGTAGTTCTTTGTATTGCTAAGCATCCATATAAATAATAATTATAGAATAATGTAGCATATACATCAAGAGTGTGCACAAAGTAAATGAGTACAGTATACTAAAATAGTAGATAGATGGGTGTTGTGTTAACATGCTTACTACTGTACTAATTAGTTACTGTATATGTTCTTGATTAAATTTGTGCATCGGTGCATCCCAGTTTAGCAAAAGGCCATTGTAATCCATAGGATGGTTCCAAATACAGGTAGTTCTTTGTATTGCTAAGCATCCATATAAATAATAATTATAGAATAATGTAGCATATACATCAAGAGTGCACAAAGTTCTAAAATTTGTAGATCGATGGGTGTTGAGTTAACATGCTTACTACTGTATTAATTAGCTACTGTTTAAAGATTAATGGTAACAATAATTATAGACCATGCTACAGTATAAAATTCATAAAAATCTTGAAAATCAATTTACATTTATTTTATTACAAATTATTTACAGTCAATGTCCTTCAGTGTACATCAAGGTGAATAAAAACTGGAATTGTCATTGAGTAATCATTGAGTCCATTATTGAAAAAATCATTCCAAACACGTTATATTTTCATTGCGGATTTTTTGGGCTCAGTACGGACTCTAAACGTATGCATTTTCTTTTAGCTTTAAGGGCGTATGCGGGAGTAAGTCCGCAATGACGATATAACATGTTTCCATTTACAGCACTAACAAAATCAGTACAGTATACAGTATGAAATACTTATTAATGGTTTATCAAATATATCGATATCTACAATAGTCAACATTTTAAAAACATTGTTCACATTGATCTATTCAGTAGCAATTTATAAATTATAGTTTTGATAGATTTGTGTGAAAGAGTAAGGCAGTAACAGTAGAATGGTTGTAAATGAAAGCATGAATAAAGATAATTCTTTATTATAAAGGGGAGCACACACTTTTTAAGATATAGATATCGATATATTTGATAAACTTTTAAACTAATTTTATTTAGACTAATTTTAATCATGTTATTAAGAATATTTACAAGGTGGAATATACATTCCTAATCCTACTCAAAACTACTAGCAACATGAAAAATGTTGTGTGTCAGAGTTAAAATCAAACCCCCAACATTAAAGTTGAGCAGAATCCCAACCACTCTCACATAAGAAGTTATGCTAGCTATTAGAATTGTACATTACAGATACTTAAGCAGCAACTTTTATTTCAGTTCCTGAGCACATTATTTGCTTCAGAAGTTTCCGTGTGGACTTGCATCTGGTTCTATAAGCCCTTTCCTAAGCTCTTTTTTTGCCTCATCAGCTTTGCCTCCTAGTAATTGTAAAGACTGATCATCTCATTTTTAAAGTCTCAGACTTTGATCATTCAATGAATTAAACAATTCCTGAGTTGAACACTGGTACATCTTAAGTAGAGGACTTGCACCATCCTCACCTGGCTTCTTTAGCAACATTAGCCGTTGGTAGCATAGCCGCTGCAGCACCTGGGACAGAACTCCCGGCCATTGCACTTGCTGTGGATGCACTCGGTATGCTGAGGGAAGAAGGCTGGACATCGTAGCCTAGTTTCTTCATATCGCGACTCACAATATTGAAAGATACTCTGATATGACCTTGAGATCTGACACGGGTTACTGAAATTCGACAAGAAATAATATAGATTAATTCACTTACATTGGATATGGTTAAATAACTAACTGCTATACTTCTTGTTTATTTATTCCACAAGTAAAACAATGATATACGCATTACTCTATGTACAGTACCTAATTTAATATGACTTATATACTTGGTAGAACCCCCAATAAAAGAACACCTTTGGGACCAAAAAATAGAGGTGTCTCTCCCCCCCCCCCTCCCCTGATAGGGGTTGCCCATAGTGTTAAAAGATAAAATAAAATGAAGTATTTACCTTCTCTGCCTTCACCTCTAGCCACAACATTAGCATCTACGTATTCTGGTTTTCTACCCATAAACCAACTGTTTTAAACAAAAAAGGAAAACATTATTTATTAATTCATTTCATGTATCTGAAAAATAAAAAAATTCAGTTTGCAAGCCACTATTTAGAACTAATGGCAAGATTGCATTTGATCCACAAATAGCAAGTTTGCTAACGTTATTATAAAACATAGATTTTCAAATAGAAAATTCAAAAGGAATGCTATTGAATCTGTGATCTATGGCAACATCAGTGGTCTACTCGTTGGAAGGCTAGTAACACTACACTGGGTGATGCTAATTCAATTCCCCATGAATTTAATTTTTCCAAATTCATGTTAAGAAAAGGTGAAGAGAAATAGGATTCCTCTGATTGTATACATACAGACCACCCCCAAATGTTTATGTCCCAAAGAATTGGGGGGGGGGGCGGGGCGAACTGTACTCTTTGGTACACACCATACCTTGTGAATTTCTGAAATCTTGATGACGACTCTGGTACAAACATTGGAATTATTCTAACATGTCTGGAAAAAAAATAGTAAGTAGTAGAGAAAAATAATAACTTTCTTATATGTTTAATATGCTTTGACAAGACAACAAATAAACACTAAATATGGTCATAATAAGAGAAGATAAGTCATGAATAACTTACTTTCCGGGAGAAATTGGGACATGCACAGCTCCATAGCCCCTGACAACAGCCGTTCCAAAGACATCCTGCCCATAGCAACTAAGAACGAGCTGGGGCCCTGTTTAATTTAAGAAAGTTCGTATATTTTAAGTGACTGTAAACAACTGATGAAACAATATATATTTACAGCATATAAAAAATGTATGTGACTAACAGAGAGAATATAGACAGATGAAAACGAGGCAACAATGAAAATGTACTTGGCAATTTGCATGAATGCGTCTACTGCATACACTCTACTTAATGTGTACTTAATATGTACTGGTAATGGGTATTATATTACGCCTTTCCCTTGCGGTTATGAAGCGCATCTGATTAGCAAGATGCGAGTCAGTAAAGGGATAACCACTTTTTCAATAAAATCATTTTTTTGGAGTGGAGAGTTGGTTCATTATTAACATACATTCCTCCAAAATTGTCACATGCTTTGCATTGAAAGTGTAAATGTTAGTAAATGTAGTAAAATAATGTTGTAAATATATTGTTTTTTATGATTACAAAATTTATCTTGTTGGTTAATTCAATAAAAATTTATTTTCATAATTAAAATAATATAAAGTAAATTGAAAGGAATTAAAATAGGAAAATAATTTTAAAATTTAACTTACATCCAAAAGGATTTGTGCTTTTGAAAGTCACTTCTAGCGGAAAATTCCAAACGAAGGTGTGCCGGCCGTCTTGGCTCTTCTTGCTAACTTGCGACACTCCCTCTTCTAAACCCTAATGGATGTGGTAAAAAAATGTAGATACATAAGTAAACAAATACAGTACAATGAGACCAATTGTGACTAAATCCTGGAGGTCCTCCAATTTCACCCCAAATAATAAAATAATTTTAGTTAGCCCACGATTTTTAAAATTGAATAGTGGTTGCTAAAATTTTGTCAGGAAATTGATATGATTGGTTGAGAGAATGAGAAAAATGATGAAAACAAGTTAACTAGATGAGTAGGTATAAGATAATAAGGCTGAATATGGTGTAGGTCTACAGGATTACTACAGTCATGGACCATGTATACCTAAGCCAGGGCTAAATACTGTATTAAAAACAACAGCGGTAGTGCTTTGTATCTGAAAGAATAAATGCCGGGAGTGATAATGATACAGCAAACAGGATTGGATGGTCACCAATTACATTTTTTAGCAGCATTTGAAAATTTAAATCATAAAAGTTTATCCAAACAAAAAGCAATCACAGAAAAATGACAATTACAAAAAGCAAAATGTTATTTACCGAGGTGATGACCCAGTCTTGGCCAAATACAAAGTTGTACTTAAAGTAGATATTATCAAATTCTGGAAACTGCAAAATAAAATGAAAATTATTTGATTCAAAGTAACTGTGCCACCATCAATTACCATATTCTGAGAAATACAGATGTCACATAGGCGTTTGGTCTATTTTCCAATAGCTGCACTTTCTGCTCAGAAGAGTTGTGGTGCCAGGATTTATTTGAAGAAGAGAAGGGGGTGGAAGCAAAATGTCCCAGAAAAGGGGGAAGGGGAACTGATTTCCCTGATGGGGGAATGGAGGTCCCTGATGGAGGACCGACATATTTGACGTGACAACCTTGTGTCTACGATAACATAAGAGCATTAGTGGACGTTGTCAGAGAGAGCCTCTTGAATTAAGTCTAGGCCAAGCGACAGACAAGCACGAATCATGTTATTTATTGTATTATTATTAGAACTGTTATATAGGCCTTAGGCCTACTACTACTTGAGTGAATTTTAAAAAAAAGAACACTTTTCCAGTTATACTTTTATTTATGCCTACTGTAATTACAAGCCTGCCTAGTCTAGGTTAGGGTGAATTAGTCTGGACATAGCCAAGGCCTTTACCTACTGTACTGTATCTCTGGAATGGGAGTAGTAGTACACTATAGCCGGCCTTGGCCTACCACCGCACCTAATCTAGGCCTAGCTAGGCCTATAGTACTAGGCCAGCTGGGCCTAGCATCTACACAAGGCGTGTTACAGAATACTAGGCTCTGAGATACTCTATAAAAGATTTTATTTCAAACTTGATAGTATGGCTAAAGTCTACTCACGTCACCGCATTCAATCTGTCCACTTAACATAAGTAAAAATACACTTGGATTAGATGCCATTTTTGTATCATTTGTTGTTATGGACGTACCTAGAGATCCTGCTGCAGACCAGTGCAGCAGCAAGGCTCGACTCCGCCACGCTTTGCAAAGCAGCCAGGCTTTGCTAAATAGTGACGTAGCGTGGCTCTTTCATTTTTCTGAATGTAACATCGCATCATTTTACGTCAAATCATGACAATTTGCGTCAACTATTGCTTAATCGAGTCGACTATTGGTAATTCGCGTCAAATTATGGTAATTCGCGCATTTTTATCATCCGTTTCTCTTCGAATCCATTTAATTCCAGTTTTGATTGGGTTTTTGGGGTCTTCCTAATGTTATGGCTCACAATTATTTTGCATCGCTATGACTTATTTGAGTATATACAGTAAGTACCTGTCTCACTCTGTGAAAATTGTATTGTCCGACAAAACGGTAGTGTAAACATGTCTTTGTGGTTTTATTTCTTGCCATGTTTTGTTTGGACTGTTGTTAAGTTCTATTGACTCCACAGAATAATCCATTCTTTATGCTTTAGGGGTCATTCAAGTATATGTAACAGATTTTTTGGCAAATATTGACACCCCCCCCCCCATGTGTATAAGAGACAGCATTAGTACTATCGTTATTTATTTAATTTAATTTATTCAACCAACAATAACAATTTACAACACAAATTATAATACCACATAACACAATGGGGCTTTTAGTATAAACATCTCAAGTCGGACAGGCCTGGACCTCCTTGTTGTCCGACGAATGACTAGGTCGTCGGACCAAAAATTAAAAAAAAATAATAATTTGCCTATCCAAATAATGCTATTTTTTCTTCCATTTCCAATATATTGTGGTCTAAAAATTAAGCCATAAAAACTCTTCACATGAACCCTAACAGGGATATTTTTTTTATTAAGGGCTGTCGACTGAGGCTTCGTCGTCGCCTTGGTTCGGACCTCTCCGCCCGACCCCTTGTCAGCGAATTTTTGGCGCCACCGCTGCTGAAGCCCCTGGTTTATATATTACGTATTTAACTTAACTGCAATTTTTGAAGTGCTTTGTTTTATTACTCTGATCATTGTCATTATTATGTAGCATGCTGCTACATCATCATTGGGAGTAATAATATTATTTGTGGTGAAAAACTCTTACCAATTGCTGCTTTAGCTGGACCAGCATGTGCTTGTAACATTTGACCTTTATACGCCAAAGTCGCAGAGATGTTGATAATTACACCACCATGGTCCTACAAACAAATTATTATTTTTAATATTATAAATTCTGAGAGGGGCAGTGAGTAGAAATTTTTGAACAAAAACAAAAAAAACTTTTCAATGAAGAATACAATACACTGAGGACTGTTATGAGTGAAAGCACTATTACAGTGGCTCTCCATATTACATAGTTTTTTATGTTAACTTGTTATGTTAGGTTTGATATAAAAATGAAATGCCAAAATTTTATCATAAATTACAGTTTGAAAAAAATACAATTTTCGGAGACTGGAATTATTGTATTTTATTTGGGATCTATTTTATTTTGGGGAGGGAGATTTATTTACTGTTTATGTCCCTTTGTTTGGACATTCACAGAGCGTTTATCTACATGGCGTCCTTGTAATGCAACTAGCACGTCGTTTTCGAACAAGCCAAGTAAGATGAGAACCTGCCACGAGAGAGACAAGATGTGTCTTTGGCAGAGAAGAAAACAGAGCTTTGTAACAGATTGGCTGATTTGCTAAAAGATTTCAAAACCGTTAACTTGAAGTTTACTGAATATATTGACGAGAAGCAAGAGAACTAATTGTCGTAGACATCTCTGGATTGCAACTGCTAAGGAGTGCATTGCAGGGGTTTTATTTTTTGTTATATTTCCCTTACGTTCTGCTACGATATTCATTCTTTTCGTTGTGTTCCAATAAATGTTCTAGCAACCTACTCAGTCTATGGTCTACTTCTTGACGTCTTTGTTCGACTCACGACAAAATAAAATATATTAAATCATCAACAAAATGAAATAAAACTTAAGCATTAAAGCTGTTGAGTAATATACGAACAAATAATGACATACATACATATATTACAGCACTTATATAGTGCTATTTCATGAAGATCAGAGCGATTTTTGGTTTTTTTGTACATTAAGAAGCAAATTAAAACTGAGATTATACCTTCAAGTACTTGTCATAAACTGCCTTACTGACATTAAAGGTTCCAATTGTGTCAATCTCTATGACAGTTTTGAACGCATTAAAGGACATGCTCTCCACAGGACAAAGGAAATTCCCAGCAGCACCTAAGAACCAAAATGAACAACAGATTTCGATAATGATAATGATGATGAATTATGGATTGGATTCATTCAGTGTGAGCCAGTGGCATGTCTAGGGGAGGGCGCACAAAAAAATCACATTCAGGTAGATAGAAATCCCCACATATCATCTTATTTTGGGAGCTAACGCCCCCCCCACCCTACACTTCACCTATGTCTCCCCCCCTTCCTATTTCAAGACTCCAATATATGCCAATGAACACCAAGGGTAACACATGAAAGTCTGAAGACTATATCCAGTGGGTCTTTCTAGTATTGATTGGGCAGTACACTCTGAGACAATCCTCTACTTTTTCTGAGAAGTGCACTGCGTTTTTTAATGTGCACATAGTCCAAATTACACATAAGGCCATTGGGTTAAATGGCTCATGCGAAAGCTTTTCCATACTTGAAAAACAAGGAAAGCAGCGGACAAGGAACATTGCATTATTATTGATCATGATTTATCATTTTGTTCTCACCATTTACAACGATGTCAATTCTTCCATAGTAACTGAGAGCTTTGTCGACAGCTGCAAGCACATCTTGTGGCTGTGAAGAAACAAATGGAAGCAATGCCACCCAGTGGCAGATCCAAAGGGGTGGGGGGGGGAGGGTGTGGTGGGGTGGTCTCTACTCTCCATCTGTGAAAGTCCCTCCCTTGACCCCCTTTTTTTTTAATGGATCCGTCACTGACACCAATATATTTCTCATATATCTATCTCTATCTGTCTACTGCTATTTAACAGCAATTCTACGTTTTTTGTTTGACTTATCGCGTAAGATTAAGATAGGTTGTTTTACAAGAAATTCTTTCATCGGGGAATGTTACTTTAGGTTGTTATTACAACAACATTTCAGTTGCTTTTAAATAGTCCTACTCCTTGTTTACACTCTGTTTTTCCTCAAAGGATTGAAAGTTCCTCTTTTCTTCCATTACACTGCACAAGCTCAATCCTGAGCACTCTGGCAGTTGGTGTAGGGGGCTTTGTTATTGTTAATGTGATTGTAGATTGGAATGTTGAAATTGTATTGTGTGCAAGGTTGTAACTGTAGAAAACTAAGAATGGGTGTTAGACATTTTAAGGGTGGGTGAGTGATAACATCATGTTGGTAAACTAATTAATAAAAGTGGATTTTAAGGATGAGCAAGGGGGTTAATATAGGTTGGTGGAGAGCCATGAAATTAGCTTTAGACTAGGTGGAAAAATTCAAGACTGGGTGGGAGGAAAACAAATGAGAGAATTATTCTAAGTAATAATAATTAATTATTTTATAATTAATCCTACTAAATGAGCAATTCATTGTTTTTATAGCCTTTTTAAGGGCAGTGGTGGCTCTAGGAATGTATATCCCGGGTATATTTTCTGGGGGGGGGAAGCTGAGCTGTCCAACAGGGGAACTTGAGCTCGTAGGCCCGAGCTGGAGGAAGGGTTTGAGAGGGGTGTTTCCCTTCCCAAATGAGTTTTTTTAAAGAATAGGAACACTCTCAAACTGTGACAGACACGTGTTGGCTTGGCATGGGCCTATTTAAAAATTTTGTTTAGTCAGACTGCCGGACGAGCTTTGTCCGATGGGGGGGGGGGGGGCTTGACCTGTCCGGTGGGAGACTTAAGTCCCTGCTTTCCCCCAGCTGCCGCCACCACTGTTTAAGGGAGTTCCAGATTTTGTAACAGAATATCTTTATTATAGATTATTTAGAACAAAATATACAAAAATTTTTAGTCCAATAATTATAATAATATAATAATAAAATTCAAATTGTTTTTCTGACCTTTCTAACATCCAGTTGAATTGCAAGACATCTTTGACCCGTAGCTTCCTCAAGCTTCTTGGACGACTGGAAATTAATAAAATAAATCAAAATAGAGTACAACTGTATGTACATATATATGTTTCTTTAGCCACTATACTAATCAACAACTCCCTGGGTTAATATTCTCTATTGTATAATCTAAATACTATGTCTTCTTTTAGCTAATTAAAAAGATAAATTAAAAGTATTTTGTGAAAGCATTTTATAATTTTCATCATCTTTGCCATCATTATCGTCATCTGTGTCATCGTCATCTTTGTCATCGTCATCCTCATTATCTTTGTCATTGCCAACCTCAGCTTCATCATCATCATCATCTTTATTACCTTCTGGACTCTTTCTAATTTCCTGCTCAATATAACAGTGTCACATTTATGTCTGGAAAAAAGAAAATTGATAAATAATTATTTATTGAATGAATAAATAATTATTTAATTATTATTTATTTAATGAATAATTAATAATAATATTTAACTACAAAAAAATCCTTAAATGGATTACCAGTCAATATAACAATTTAAGGGCTTATGCCCCTGGTTCTTAATTGATTTGATTGAAGGGCCAAATCTTTTTTTAGAGTTGATCTCACAGGCCGAAGGTAATCTGCACCTAGTGAAAGCAATTGTTATACATTGGGTGAAACACTTTCCGCTAAGATAGGTCTATTTGAAATTTACGTTTTTTTTTTTGTGTTTTTTTGCAATTTGAAATTATAAGGGTCTATTTTTAAATTGTACTAGGCCTACCCCAGCGGTCATGACCCATAATTGATCAAAAGTTAAGAACCAGGGGCTTATGCAAAAGATGCAGAAGGTTTTAATTACAGTCTGTCCTTTAATTGAAGGGGAACATTTTTTGTAATTCAAATTTTTAATTTAAAATTAAATTATTAACCAATTAAGGAATTCAAGATAAATGGAACTGAATTTTTCAATATTTTTTGGTTATGACTGACAGCACATCTTTAATATTATGACTGACTGACTGTACATCTTTAATATCAATAATATATTAAAATATGAACACTTCCTACCTCATTAAAATTTCAGCAACAGTAAAACATATTCCAGATCCACCACCAGTTATAAATGCCACTTTACCTCTAAAAAGGTTAAGTACAATACAACATTATTGATTTACAATTTAATTTTTTTATTTTCACTGTTTGCGTAAGTTGTTGATGGGTGGGACCCTCTTTTTAATACTGTGCTATACAGTATTTACTAGCCTAGACTAGACTAAGGGGTCCCAAATTAATAGAAATTCCATCAGGAGATCAGGTTAAATGAGATATCTTAGCATATCATAGTGCATCGTGCGGAACGGTCCCGCATTGCAGAATGATTTTGGATAAAACACGCATTTTTCAGAGACACATGCGTGATCATAAATTTGTCACACATTTAGCACACATGTATGTGTGATAACAAATTATCACAAATTAAGGGAAAAATTTATTTTAAATTAGAAGAAATTGGTTTTATTAAAAATATAAAAACCCTAGACTCAGGTAGACGGAACCTGAATCCACGCCTATCTATATATGTATGGAGTCCCTTCCGTGGCAAAAATCTCAAGCCAGCATTTCTCTCAAACTTAGCATGTATGATTCAGGGGCGGATCCAGCCTGGTAAGAAAGAGGGGGTGTGAATGTGCAAACTGAGTATAAGAGATTCACAGAGCCCAGGGATGCAAGGGGTGAATCACCCCTTTTTTCATTAATTTCAGTTTGTATTATTTAGATAGATTTTATTATTTAGCATGGTAATTTTATGATAAGCTTTACAAACATTTTTTTCTTTTACAAAAAAAAGAGGGTGTGTACTACTAAATAAGCCTGAATTCGATCCAACTCGGCCACAAGTCAACTCGGCCACAAGTCAACTCGGCCACAAAAAGTTTGGCTACAGTCAACTCGGCCACAAGTCAACTCGGCCACAAGTCATCTCGGCCACAAATCAACTCGGCCACAAGTCAACTCGGCCACCTGTCTCTTATACACATCTAGATGTGTATAAGAGACAGAACCCGCGCGACACGAAAAGTTTTAGTGTATTATACAAACGAGACCGCTACACAACGGCCTTTGCTTCGAGATTTGAGCATACTACCAATCAAATATCCTGTTGCATTGTAAGTTGTAAACAGTTTTGTTTTCTTGAAAATTGTTTTGAAAATGTTTTCTAGACCCTATTGGAAACAATCCTCTTAGTTTAATTAGGAAATCCAGATTTTGTTGAGTACTGTAAAATTACAGATTTTCGAGAGGATAGTGTTATTATTATGTGTGGTGGTCCTGTTTTACTAAAACATACTGTGTACTTTATTTCAATCATATATTGAAGAAAAGGGATGCAAAAACTTAGATTTACATTAAATAACTTGTGGCCGAGTTGACTTGTGGCCGAGTTGACCTGCACCCATAAGCCTAGCCTAGGCTAGTAAGGTAGTACTAGTAGGAGCCTAGCCAGAGCCAGGCTAGCTAGGGCCTGCCTTTCCGCCACTGTCATTACACTCAGAATTAGGATCCAAGTGTAGTTTTCGGCCACCATTTCCTTTTTTCAAAACACAGAAATATCATTTAGAAAAGATACTTGCACTGAAAAAAGGACTTACTGTAGTAAACTGGGATTGAAAATGTAGGTGTACTTGTCTAAACAAACATCGTAATCTTCCTTGGGGGCTGCCATTTTCGAAAAATTAGGCTCATGAAATATTTGCTAATAATACAATATAAAAGGAAAATATTGCAAGTTATAATATGTTATAAAATTCAAATAATTTAATATAAATGATTATTTAACAAACATTTTATTGTTTAAATATTTTGGGACGTTTAAAGTGACAGTTAACGAAATAAATATAATTAAAAATAAAACAGTAGTTTTAGAGGATGCTAGTTCGTCGAGTCGGTCTCGAGCGGTACGTACGCGAGTACGAGTATCTAGTGTACAGAGATCAAGTGGGTACGAGCCATCGAGCAGTGTATTCGAGCGAACACCCACTTGGCCTAGTACTCCTCATTGAATAACTTCGTCCAGTTGGAATCGTCCATGTTCGCACTAGTAGCTCAATTTTCGCTCGATGTTAATCAGCCGGTCAAGTGTGGGTGTTCGCTCGAACTGGTTATCCGCTCGAACTGTTGCCATAGTTTTGTTTTTGTGGTAACGCTTAGCGAAATTTGATGTAAGATAAGAGACATGTTATTAAACGTTTTCATTTAAAAAAGGTAATTCGGTAATTATATCCATATGTTATTATTATGAACGTATTCATCTAGGCTATGTATCATTACTACATTAGTGTAGGCTAGGCAGGGCCAGGCTCGCTTAGCTTAAAAAAAGCAAAGAGGCCTCCTCCTCCTGCTGAAGCGCCTACTCTACCTAGCCTAGGCTACGGAACTAGCCTAGGCCTAAGTCTAGGCTAGACTTGGCATAGGGCCTAGGTTCTATGTTCTGGGACAGACCCCTCTCAAACACTGCAGCGCAGGTGATATTGTGAATTCCATGGTGTGCCATAGGGATTGTTCCAATGATATACACGGTTTCTGGACAAAACAGCAGTAAACCAGAAAGAACAGCAAAATGAAGCATAAATAATGATGTGTAAAAAAGAATGCGATTAAACATTAAAAGCGGGAAAAGAGCCCATGGCAATACAGTTTTTGATTTGCCTATCGGGACAATTTCAGAATGATTAAAAAATTGATTTCACCCTTTGCAGTGTAGGCCTATGCCTGTTGCCGTTTTGATATTTGTCATTGACGTTTTGGTTTGTTGTTGTTTAGGTACTTGTCATTGCTGTTTTGGTTCATTGCCATTTTGGTAATTACCGTTTTGGTTTATTGCCATTTTGACCTGCTTCCATATACACACTAGGTACCCCTAGGCCCTAATTATATTATTTAATTAATGTAATAGCTGGGAATGCACTTTTATCGATAAGTTAGACCATCTGTGATGTGTTTAATTTACATACGGTAATTCAAATTTATAGTTTTTTTGTAGGCGGCAGAATAAAACAGCGCACTCATGGCAGTGTACTTTGACCATAGAGTTCAGACAATAGCTGGTAGTCAGGTGGATATATCCTGGCACAACACGCAACCTTTTCTTGCTGTCGCTACAAGAACCGATGGGGGTGGGGGCACTGTTAAACTCTACAATGAAGAGGTAAATAAAGAAAATTAAAAATTTATTTTGATTTATATAGCACATAATAGTTTGGTCATAAAACAGAAAAAAATAACAATGTATAAACTAAACTACAAACATTTAATTCAGAAGAATAAGTCAATTTAATTTACTTGTTTTTGAATGAGATCCACTGTGTTGAAATATTAACAAAAGTTTTTAATCACAAAATTATTTTTGTTAAATAGGGTGATGAGGTTGAGAACGCATGTGTTCAACGATCCTGCGGCTCATCCTCCTTAAGTTGGCACCCAGTCAAACCAATTTTTGCCAGTGGTTGGGAGTCTGGTGATGTCCTCGTGTGGAACGACGAGTCTAAAGAACTCTACGAAGCACCTGCTTTACACAAAAAAGAAGTGTGTCTTGTTGTGTGGAATGACCATGGACAGAGACTCATGACAGGAGATAAGGTATATCAAAATTTTATTTAATAAAAATTAATGTAATTTATATATATATATATATATGTATATATAATAATATATATATATATATATATATTTATATATATATATTTATATTTTTTTACTTTTAAATTTGGATATTAAACTTTGTATGGTGAAACACCTATCTATAGAAAGATGTTTGACAAAAATTTATTTTTCTTTTGGGATTAGTTACATAATAAAAGTAAAGTAAGAGAAATTTTTTTCTTTATATTTTCCTTTAAATTATTCACAAATAATTACAAGTAAACATCTTATAAAAATTTTTCAAAACAAAGTTATTTTCTAGTTTAGCTCAAATTCTAAGCTATTTAAAGTATTAAAAGCCATATTTTTATATGTTTAATAATTATTTTACATTATTGTATTCTTTTTTATGTTACATCAATTGAACTATCTTCAATTAACATTTTTCCCACTCCTCTTTCATATCTAGAATGGAGATATTGTAATATGGAAGGTAGACATGAAAGGTCGTATACAGCCGACCCCAGTTTGTCAATACGAATGCCATCAAATACCACGGCAGTGTATCTTCCGACCAACTTCGGAGGAAAGTGCTCAGTATGTGATCTTAATAATCTGATTGGATTTTAATTATATGTACTACATCAGATGCAATGTTTAAGTAATGCAAATACATTGGACTGTATGTGTAATATTGAAATAACCTACCTCATCTCTTAAATGAGGTATTAATTATTATTTGTTTATATTTCTCAGTTGACAATCAATAAATAATAATTGATTTGGTATTTGTATTAATTAGGGATAAAGCAGCACTGGCACGAGCGGCTGTCAGTGGCGATGAGAGGGCGCTAGACATGTTCTCATGGCGTAAGGAAAGCAGCAAATCTTCTAAGCTTTCCAGTGGTAACGACGGTTTGTGTTGTTACGTTGCTAGTGAGGACGGTATGTCATTCATGTTTACTTACTTACATTTTAAAAATTTTAACCTATTCTCATCCAACAGTGATTGATCCCACAATGTAAATTGAGAAAGGATTCACTCATTTGCAATGCAGTAGCCAGCTATTGGGACAGTTAGGACAATTTTTCTAATGGGTCCACAAAGAATGGGTCCACATTTTTAAAAATGGGTCCAAGTTATATAGTGGGGTCCTTCTTGTGGTGAATTATCCAGTATACTGACAGACAGTCTCCTACTCTTTCCCGAAGAATGTACTATGTTCTTTAATGTGCACATGGGCCATAATGCACACAGGACCAACATGGTTAGTCGACTGAGCTAGCTGCTCTCTTCATGCTAACAACCAAGTGTGCTCCTCATTCTTCTCACTTCTACAGCAATAAATTCCTTGCTTAAAGATTATAAAAGTTGCTTGAAGACCAGTTGACTTTCAAGAGAAAAATTTTGGATTCAATAAGACATTGATTATATTATATTGTAGTTTACTTCTCACAATCTATTAATAAGAATGATGTATTCTGTAGGTGATGTTAATTATTTTGATGAAAAGGGAAATTTGTTCAATGTACATAAGTGTGATGGACCAATCAAGAAGCTACTTTACAATGAGCATCGTAACATCCTAGTCATCATCACCGATGCCCTGATGCTCTCGCAGCATAGTGTCTTAAGCGATGGCAAGTTACAGGAGACGATGAAGGTGAGATTTTCTGCGAGAGAGGTAATAATTTATTTAAAGATACACACCGTCATTTTTCTTCAGCTAAAAATGAAATTAGAATACGGAAATTTGTTGTTTGAATACTCTTTAAAGTGATTGATTGGTATATAATAGTATAGTAGTATCACATAGCACAATATTTAAGTCTTTTGAGAATACTTACCTGGATGAACTGATGTATTAAGTATGCCAAGTTTCCCTTTTTGGTAATTACATTAGGATCTACTGCAATTGACCTTTCCGCTAAACCCCGCCCATTAGAAATTGTTACTAAGGTCCCACGCTGTTCTGATTGGTCAGTTGTTAAGTTTGATTGACACTCCAGAAAGGTCTATTGCCCACTGGTGGTAAGCTCTCCGCTTTTGACACTCTGATCGGATGCTTCCATTATTTTAGAGGTAATTTCAAAAAGGATATCTTTGCATTTGATTCATCTAAGTATCCTGACTCACTAACATCGTTGCTGACTTGCGTGTAGCCATGTCAAGACTATCAAATTTTATGTGAAAAAAAAAAACTGTTGCATGCCCATATATAGTCATGATGTGCCTATATATGGTCATGATGTGATGTCATCATGACCATATTTAGGTATGTCAAATGTTTATGTCAAATAAAATTCGATAGTCTGGACAGGGCTTAATCCTCTGTTTTATCTCACCATCTCACAGGTGAAGTTAAGTGGTAAGCCACCAGACACTGATTGTGCCATAGTTTGGGCTGGCAAGGGTCTACTTGCCACAGCTACTGGAGAGGGCATTGTTCGTATGTGGGATCTCGATAAGGACGATAACTTTGTGCTGGGATTGGATACTCAATCGGGATTTGAGACTGGAGAATGTATCAATTGTGTTGCCTACTGTAAGAATAAAGGTGAGTTTCTTTCATACTCCATTGATAATGAAGCTTCAATCACATCGTTCCTTGACTGAAATTCAGACCGCATTTCTGATGCGTTGAATAAAATGTACCAATTCTAACATACAGATTCCATTCGGTAGGCTATCCGATCCGAAAGTTTGGATTCGGTGTGAATGCATGTGTTGTCTTCTAACCTCGAGGGCAATCCAGCCGAGTATAGTCATCATATCGGTGACACTGGATCCTCTTTAGTAGTTCCCTATCACATCTCGCCTCTGTACCATTTCTAGTAATTTGGTGTTCTTGGCGGTGCTTGGGTGCCAAGCTATGGAAGAACCAATACCAAATTCATGTAATTTGTTCTTAACAGCAATTCTAGCTGCTGGAACTGACAGGGGCCGTGTAGCCTTTTGGAAGTACTCCCCCAATCGTGGTTTGATGGGCCGCAAACAGGACAGTGAGACAAAATGGAAGCTGCAGAAAGCATCCAACTTGGAGGGAAGTATCCTTCAGATAAAATGGGGAAGTAGGAAGAATCTCCTGGCAACCAATACCATCGACCAAGTTACTATTTTGGATGAACAGCTTATGAGTGGACATATGAAAGATGAGGTCAGGTCATATGCTACCTAAATTACAAAAACACAATGATATTTACTCATATTATTATATTTACTAGTTTTTCATTTAAGTCATTCAATATTCAAAGATAGACAAACAGAAAAGAAAGTGATGGGTCGGGGTGGGGCCATTGTGGATGAGTAAAAACTCATGTAAAAATGTAAAAAATGGTGGTTTATGGTAGATTGAACTAGATAATATAACCCTTTGCTGTAATTATGAACTTTAACAATCATTGTAAACTATTTTTTGCAGGTATGTGTTGTACAGACTGGACCTAATACTCTGTCTGTGGATTTATATGCAAGCAAGACACACCATAATGTGAAAACAGATATACATGTGAAAGGCATTTATGCTTCAAAGGTAACCATAATAAGGAATTAGTATAGTTGCATATTATACACTAGTAGAAATTATATTGCATTGTTTAGGATATGAAAATAACATTAAGAGTTATACCGCTGATGTCATGATTTACTTACGACATTGTTTATTTCAATTCCAGTTTATGTCACTTGCAAATTATTAACCAGTGGCGTGACCAAAAAAGCAAAGCTTGTAAACTTAGCACACAGCCATATAATATTAACAAATAGCAAAATTATGACATACATAATGTATAATACATAATGTAATAACTAACTGAAGAAGGTTCTATGTCTGTTAAAATATATATTGCCATAATCAAGGAGAATTATTAAGGAAGGAATAATTTTGTAATATTTTGTTGTTGATACTAGTTAAACATTTTTTGAATCAGAAATTAAAAATGTATCTGTTTGCTAATTAGGAGCATGTCGTGATCTGGAATGGTAGGAAAGCAGTGGTTTATGAAGTAGGGCAACAAGCTGTCCGGGCATCAGGTGTAGTATTTCATTGCATATGCTTTATACGTTAAGTCAGTGTTCAAAGCATACCCAATTTCTGTTGGATATCTAAAAGTCAAATATGTTTTTAAAAATATTTTGTGTGGTTAATAAAACTATATAAAATTTGTAGCGTGTAAATTATTTTTACTTAAGCCCTGCCCAGACTATTAAATTTTATTTGACAAAAACATGTGACATGCCTAAATATGGTCATGATGACATCACATCATGACCATATATAGGCATTTAAGATAAAAGTATAGCAGCAGAGGGCATGCATGACAAGTTGATGAGAGATACGTGCCAAACATCTTAACATTATCATTTATGAATTATATTTTTTTGTAGGTACATTTTCTACTGAGTCTTCAGTTATTTGTTTATATGAGCAAAATGTTTACACAACTGAGCCAGGCAAAATACAAGTCAGAACTTTCCAGGTCAGTATAAATCATATCACCATTTATACAATATTGTCTAGAGAATTTAATCTTAATATTAATTGTGAGAAAGGTAGGCACAAACTTTTGTTTGGAAGGCTGACATGTAGCTGTGCTTTCAGCCTAACTAAGCAGGTATTCTTACTGCTACATGGCAAAGAAATGAAATTATTATCACCTATTATCATCACCTAAATTGTCACCAATTATTATAGGAATGGTCCAACCCAGGCAAGTGTAATACAATACTGTTTCCTTTAGCTGTCATATGTTACGCTGAGTTTTCGTAGCCTGCGTAGACCTAGCCCAGCTAGGCTTTGATAATTGGCGTAACAGTGTTGCATTATATACGCCAGGGTCGGACTATTCCATTATTTTCAAGGTAAGTTCTTAAATGGAAATTGGCATATATTGGTTCATCCAGGTAAGTATCTCACTCATATACCAACAACATCACTTCTGATTTTTGTGATTATCAAATATTATTTCTAATACTTTCACTTGCAGGGCACAGTGAAGCAGTTGATATCACTAAATGAAGATGATGGTGAACCAGTTGCCATGGAGATAAGTGACAAATACTTTGTTGTTGCAACATCAACAGGATTCATCAAGGTGTATGACATTTCAAGAAGGTGAATATTGAATGTCAATTACAGTATAATTAACATGTCTATTTTAATTGAGTTTTGAAATGACAAGTATGATTATTCTAATGTTAAATAATTTGAATTATAATTTTCTTTCAGAGAGGCCAAACCACACTGTCCTCCAAAAAACTTTGCAGAAATTATTCCAGACCTCAGAGTCATCAAATCTGCCAAGTCAAACAGCAATGGTACAAGAATATTTGTTATAGTTGAAAAGGCAAGTAAATTATAAAAATATACACACATTATTCTCAATATTATTTTTATATATTCTATAAGCTAAGATACTTCTGCTAAAGTGTATGAGTGACTGTAGTTGCAATTTAGGACATAACTGAATAATCATCCATTTATATTAATGTTTTGTTCATCCCAAACATTATCTATTATAGCTCCGTCTATTATTAATAAAATCACTGCCCTCTACTGTTTTATTTATTTCTGATAGACTGATGGTACCATAGACTCTAAACTCTACCTATGGGATGTTGATATGGATACTATCCAGTACTTCGATTTTGCGACTGGACAAGGAGACCAAGACGATGTTATGCTTACTAATGGAGAAGATATGAATGATGTTGAAAGGTAAGATAGGAAGAAAGACCAAGAGACTATCAACTTGAATAATATTAACAAAAATATATTTGTTGTAGATGTTTAAAATAAATTTATAGATCGGTGGTAAAGTTGTTTGATTTTCTGTACAAGGTTCCTAGGTTCAGATCCTCCAAAAACTGTTTTTCCTTATAAACTTTTGTCGTAATTAAAGACAACACAAACTTTCTAAACTGCTGTACATTAGTGATTTGAGCATCACTTACATCTTATAACTCAGATGTGGTGAGTACAAGATGCTTAAAAAATAGTCAAACCATATAAAAAAGATAGAGCAATAGAACTCTCACTTAATTACTGCTTGTTTCCCAGGGGGAGAGTAGAGGCAGCCCAAGATGTTGCAGGTAGATATCCAGTGAGTGCATTCTGGGATCCTACAGAACCTAAGCTGATCGTCTGTGAAGCCAGGCTGGCCTTGGACAGTGAGAACATATCATTCTTAAAGAAGAAACCTTCCTTGAATACCCTTTCTAATCTACCTGTAAGTGGAGTCCTTCACAAATGAGCAATTAGTATAGTTGCATATCATACACATCACTACTGTATTGGAAATTATTATGCAAAGGTTAGATTAATGCATGAAAAAATTATTGAGGAAAATATAAAGCAGCTCACACCAAAGTAATAATAAATATATGTAAAAAATCAAGTACTTACCTTTCATTCTTGTAATAAATCCAAATTAAAGCAAGTCCAAACTAAATTATTTCACAGTAAAATAATATGGTTAACTGGAAAGCTGGTAATAAAATAAGTGTGGTTTTACTAAAGCAGTCTGCCCCATTGCACTGCTGAACTGCAATTGAACAAAAACAAAGAACAACTACACACCTGTGCGACCTCAAACTAAATGCAAATAAGTATGTAAATGAATTAACTGAATAAATGAATAACAAATTAGATTGAGAACTTCTAGAATTAAATGAAGAAAATAAAGAAATAAGGCACAGCTTACAAATTGCAGATACACCATCGACATGTCTAAGCATGGCTAAATAAATTTCAGCCAACATTACAATAACAGGGTGTGAATTGTTTTTTTTTCATTCATACTCTTTTTCAATTTAGGCTGAGAAGATGGTGGTGTCCCTCTTCAGCACCCTTGACCACGGTGTCATGCTACAGGGTGGCATTGCTCTCCACACAGCTTACGACAGTCTACTCGGGGCTGGTGTCCCATACTTATACTTTGTGAAGAAGGTAAAAAATAAAAATGATGCTAAAAAAACATTTATTACGTAACTATCCAATTTTCATATTTAAGTAATAGTAAACTATCATCATTTATATATTGTATTATGTGAATTTAATGTTTAATTTTTCAATTTGTTTGTATAGTATATCAATGTGGAGAGCCTCTTATTATACTTATTATTATTAAAATTATTATTATATATTATTATTTTTATTAATGTCATTGTGGTCATTAATAATTATTATTAGTCTGGGGAGAAGCTAGATGATGATGTTGATAGTCTCGCATCAGAATCTCCGGTAGCTCGCAAAGTTATGCGAGACTTTGTTGGCTTAGAAGACAGTGACAAAAAATCTCGTGAGGCCATGATGAATTTCAGTTTCTATCTCACAATTGGAAATATGGATGAAGCATTTAAAGCAATCAAGCTGATTAAAAGGTAAATACGAATTTGAAATATTCATATTTGGTCATTAATTATCCATAATTGGTCATTTGGATCAAAATTGATAACAATTAAAAATTACTCTTTGCTTTTAGTGAATCGGTGTGGGAGAATATGGCAATGATGTGCGTGAAGACACGAAGGTTAGACGTAGCTAAAGTGTGCCTTGGGAACATGGGGCATGCCAGAGGAGCGAGGGCGCTCAGGGAGGCTGAGAAAGAGCCCGAGTTAGATGCTCGTGTAGCTATGCTAGCAATCCAGTTGGGCTTACTGGTAAGTTTTGTTTGGTTTGTTCATTTTTTTCTGCTACTGAATCAATGATAATAATTTTCCTATTCCTACATAAATCAATATAATGTGGTGGTATCTTTTATATTCAATATTATTAGGAGGATGCTGAAAGATTGTACAAAAACTGTGGTCGTTACGACTTACTGAACCAGTTCTACCAGGCCAGTGGACAGTGGGCTAAGGTAATTATTAACTCGTAAATTGTGATCAATTGGCGAGGGTAATAATATGTACATATAGGACCCATGATGTGCTATAATGTTCTGAGATATTACAATTAATATTAATATCATTATCATAAAATTATTAACCAAAATATACTATAATCTTAAATCTATGAGAAGAAAGACCTGTATATTTTGCCTGGATTAGAACCTAAGCTTCTATGATTGAAAGCCAAGTACCTCAACCATTATAGCACTTTTTTCCCAGCCCTATTACCTATTAATATCTGTACTAATATCTACTGTTTTTGTAGGCCATGGAGACAGCTGAGCTGCATGATCGTATTCATCTACGTACAACGTACTACAACTACGCCAAGCACCTGGAGTCAAAGGGAGATATGAATGGCGCTATACCGAAGTAAGTGCTTGCTTAGGAAGATGTGTTGGCTAGATCTTGCAGGATGTAGAGAGATGATACTGAACATGGTGATAATAATGATGGATGATTTTCATTTGAGTTGATTTTAGCAATGATTATGGCGATGATAAATATGAACCTGATTATGATTAGGATGATTGTTTATATAGACAATGATGATGGTGTGATAGCCTTGATGATATCTATAATCATTATATAGTAATTGATAATTAATTTAAGGTTAATGATAATGATGCATTGTAGTTCAACATAGTGAAAATTGTGATAGTAATGATGATAATAAAATGTATGCGATTGGGTTGATAATAATGTTAAATAATGATAAAATATGTAATCATAATATGATAATAAAATGTATGTGATAGTGTTGATAATAATGTTAAATAATAACACAATCAGTATTAAATTAAATTTTGTTTGTAGTTATGAGAAATCAGATACCCATCGGTTTGAAATACCCAGAATGCTATTTGATGAACCCCAGGCACTGAAGGCCTATATTATGAAAACAAAAGACAAGTAAGTTGCATTTTTATCACACATCCACTCCACACATTGTAGCCCTAAAATAACCCTACAATACAAATCAATTACTAAAGAACAAAAAGTTTAATTTAAGAACTCTTATCTCATCATCGTTGATTAGCTGTACAAGATTCATCTCTATATACACCCAATGATCCAGTAATCATCCAGAATTGATGGCTTATATATTTGTGACAAATCCACTCAGCATTATGTTGTGGACAGACGAAAGTAGCTGGTACCGGTTTACCGGGTAGCAAAGACACGAGGGGATTCTTAGAGGAGCAGCAAGTTACTGCACAAGCCAGTCTACACCTTAAGCGCTTTGAGACTTCAGTATAAAGTGCTATGTAATCTAATTACATTACATCCAACTATGATGTTGCAAAACTTGCACCCATAATGTAAACAACCTGAATTCTACATCATTGATTGTCTTATTTGAAAATATTGGCATAGGTCATCCGACTATGATATGACCTTACAGTCTAATATAAACATCCTGAATCCTTCATTATTGTTTGTTCGATATCTGTATCTAGATTTTAATCAATCTGGGTACAGATCTACCTTGTTCTCACGACATTTGACCTTTTGGTTACAGATCATTGAAGAAGTGGTGGGCACAGTACATGGAGAGCACTAGTGAGATGGACTCTGCATTGCAATTTTATGAGATGGCTCAGGACTACCTGTCTCTTGTCAGGGTTTACTGCTATTGTAACAACTTGGAAAAGGTATGACTGCAGTAACAGATTCACTGAAGATCAGTGAGAAAGGCTTATGGTATTCTTCGAACAGATGACATATTAAAAGTTTTACAAAAGTGTTAAATTGTTGCATGACTTATGGTTGGGGACTTTTAATATGTGGTTTCTATGCACTGTTAAGAAAAAAAAACCAGAATCTATTCTAGTAGGTTCAACTGAGCTAACCATGCTAGAATATAATTCTGAAACAGACAAACGCAGAGGAACCAACACTAAAGCACTGTTCCAGCAGTTTGAGACCACCGACAAGCAGTGGTTAGCAGGAATGACTCAAAGGCACTCAAATAGTTTTGGCATCTGGCCTAGCTTTTCCTAACAACAAAATTGAAAATTAACAGACAACAAAGAAATTATAAAGAAAGAAACGGTGTGATTTGTCATGATTAAATCTTGTTTTGTTCAAATTCGATCATATAATTTAATTAATGAAAACATTACATCTATTAACAATTACAATTGTTTCTGTACTGCTCTTTCCTGTAGGCATCTGAGATTGCTAGCCAGACAGGGGACAGGGCAGCTTGTTATCACCTGGCAAGACAGTATGAGAATGTGGTATGTATTATTTGACAAAAGCATGTAACATGCCTATATATATGGTCATGATGACATTCCACATGACCATATATAGACACATCATGACTATATATGGGCATACTACAGTTTTTTTGTAAGAAAGTATCTATTTTAGAAGGTGAGAAAATTAATAAGTACAAAAACTTGTTTTTTATTCTTAGGAGGACTACAAAGCATCAATCCATTTTTTCACACGTGCACAAGCTTACAGTCAGGCGATTCGGCTATGCAAGGTATAAAACTGAATTTAATACTTATACCTTACTCTCACTTTGCCTCAGTATAATAGTTTATAAGCCTAATTTTATTTAATATAAATAATTGTTAAGGAAAAGTATATACAGATATGAATTTTTATTAATTGACTTTTATTGATATTTTGAATACATTTAATTGATTGATAATATATTTAATTAGTTTACAATGTTATTTGCTTAATTTTCCACTAATAACATCTGTATCTAGTAACATGGCTGAGTGTGCAGTCATAAACGTAAACCTGTGTTTGTGGGACATAGGTGTATCGCTGGCCTGTCATATTTAATAACACATTCGTATTGGTCAGTTGTTAAATTTGGTTGACACTTCTGAAAGGTCAGTTGTATCGCAAACAGTTTTTGACAGGCTAAAAAAAATGTTTGCTCACTTTGAAAATAAGTTTAAAAATTATGCATTTGTCTGCAGGAGAACAACATGGAGGACCAGTTAATGAATCTTGCGTTGATGAGCAACTCAACAGACATGATAGATGCCGCCCAATACTATGAAAGTAACCCTCAAACCATGGATAAGGCAGTAATGTTGTATCATAAGGTAAAGCAATTGTAAGAGCAAGCAACCACATGTCATCATTTGTTCCTTTATAGAGTAATTTTTACTCAGACATTTGCTTGAATCTTTCAATTCTGTTTTTTAAATAATCTATCATGCCCATATATGGATGTAATTTGTATCTTATCTTTTTTGAGTGAATGATTATAATAAACTTTACTTTATGTTTTTTACCTAGGGTGGCCATTTTTCCAAGGCCCTAGAGCTTGCTTTTGATACTCAACAATTTGCTGCCCTACAACTGATTGCTGAGGATTTAGATGAAAAGACTGATCCTATCCTACTCAATCGCTGTGCTGACTTCTTCATGGAACATGGACAGTACGATAAGGCCGTTGATTTGCTGGTTGTAGCAAAGAAGGTAGAAACATTTGTGTTTATTATAATAATAATAATAATGATATCTAAAACCTCTCACAAAACTTGTTGAAACTTTTGAACCCTCCTTTTTGACACCCCTATTAAGGGGACACCCCTATTAAAAAACTCTCCAATACGGAAACACTCTTTTGGCCATAAAATGGGGAAAGTATATTTTTTAACACTATGGGCCCATTTAAGGCACACTTGTCGAGAGGACACTTTTTTCCCCCGTGCCCCCCTACTGGATCCGCCCCTGTATGCTTTCTCTTGGATTTGGAGACAGTATGAATGCACAATATGCAGCCTCCTCTCTACTTCATTCACAGATATTCAATGCAGACCAATGACATTCAAATTCTATTGATACTCTTGGTTAACAAGTTAGAAATCGGATAAAAATGTTTTCCAAGTTAGGATTGAAACCTGCAGGTCTCTCTAAAATGAGAGTGGCAGAACCTTGCAAATGAACATAAATAAACCATTAAAAAATCAATCTCTTGTAGTTTGGTGAAGCTCTTGATATTTGTATGCAACAAGGGGTCAACATCAATGAAAAACTAGCTGAGAAAATGACCATCTCTAAAGATGACCCCAACGGTGAAATGCGGATAAGGCTTCTTGAAAAGGTTGCCGACATCTGTTTCCAGCAGGGGTCATATCACCTGGCCACCAAGAAGTATACACAGGCAGGGAATAAAGCAAAGGTAAGGAGATTTTAAAAACCCCAAAAACTATTATGGAGTTATACTGTACACCATTATGATACCATTGTATAAAAAGAACATTTTAAGAATAGATATTAATATAGAAATGAAATGTTTTTAGTTAATGATTGAAGGCATTTTCTTTTTTTTCAAAGGCCATGAAATCGCTGTTAAAGTCGGGCGATACAGAGAAGATAATCTTCTTTGCGGGTGTATCACGACAGAAGGAGATTTACGTGATGGCAGCAAACTACCTGCAGTCGCTGGATTGGCGTAAAGATCCTGAGATTATGAAGAACATTATTGGATTCTACACTAGAGGGCGGGCTTTGGATTCTTTGTCAGGATTTTATGACGCCTGTGCTCAGGTGACTACATTTCTGTAAACAATAAAATTTCAGACTCAGTAATTATGGTATCGTGTAAGTGTCAAAACACTTCGCTGTTTGATGAGAATGATATTTTTAATGATTAATTTCTGACCCTTTTCATATGTTTTAATTGTGTTACCACAAGGAAGATGAAGCTATAATACACATATTTTATCCCTATTCCAACACTGAACTACATGTTTGAATTGTGTTTTTTTTTTTTCACTCGTAGGTGGAGATTGATGAGTATCAGAACTATGATAAAGCCCTGGGAGCACTAAGCGAGGCTTACAAGTGCTTGAGTAAGGCTAAATTAAAGAATACTTCACAGCAAGAAGAAAAGCTTGCAGCTCTCAAACATCGCATCAACCTCGTCAAGAAATTTGTACAGGCTAGACGGTAAGAGCATCAGGGGTGACAGCAGGTTTTTGCCTCTCCCGGGCAGTAATGCCAAATGAATAAATAAATAAAATACAGCTTTATACTCGATACTCGATTTGCTTTGTATAATATAAAAAGTGGGATAGATTAGATGCAGGTGGAAAGGTAGATAGAGACAATGAGATTTGGTTGATCTGATGAGGACTTGTTATTTCTGCCTCCTCCATTGGTGCTGCCACTAGAATTATGTCTGGCTCAATTGTCCACCAAAATATCCTTCCTCTAATTAAAGTGATTTAAAGAAAAAAGCTGCAATGTCAGATTGATGTCCAGGATGCACATCCAAGACATACAAAGGAGGAAGCATAGCTGGAGAGATCAGGCTTTCAACACTGCTGGACCAGGGCTCTGGAATAAACTTCCTCTGAACATTAAACAGTCACCGTTAGACAGTAACACTTTTTTTAATAATCTCTTTTTGGAACTACACCACGAGCAACGACTGTTGGAATGGCGCCTTATAAATGGAACGATTGATTGATTTTTTTACAGAGTGTATGATGAGGAACCAGAGGAAGCCATGAAGCAATGTCAAGTGCTGCTGGAGGAGCATGATCTGGATAGTGCTGTAAGAGTTGGTGATGTCTATGGCATGATGATAGAGCACTATGCCAGGCAAGAGAGCTTCAAGAAGGTAAACATCACAATTCCTTTTAATTCTTAAAAAAACTAATTGTGTGATCAAGGCTTGCTGAAATAGCAGCTGAAACATAGCAAACTAAAATCCATTTACATTAGATATGCTGGCTGTCATAATATCTGGGTGAACCCCACTTCCTTACACCAGGGTTAATTTATTACAAATAATTATTGTATTTTGACTTGCTATTGAATAAATTATTATTCTGTATTTCAATATATATATATAATATTTTAATCTATTTTATAATTATCCTTGGTATTATCCAGAATAAAAATCATGCATTTGACAATCTTTAATAACCAAAATATGTATAACTGATATGTTTTTAATTATTTCTAGGCGTATGCCTGCATGGAAGAAATGCGAAGTCGTATACCAACCGTAAACATGGCGTTCTATGTGAACATGCGTACAATAGAAGCGATTCATCGCGCGCTGGACATCCCACTCGGTAGAGGGATGGGAGCAGAGAAGAAAGACGAAGATGATGGTGATGAAGTTGAGGAGGAAGTTCAAGAGGAGTATGATGAAGATAACGGCTATTGCTGAGGGGTCACTCAATTTATCAGTTATCGATCATCCTTTTGGTTTTTATTTATCAGAACTGACATTAAATCAAATTAAATTGATTTAACATTTCATTTCATTATTTATTGGTATGTTTCATGTTAAAACCAACCGTTTACAGATGTATACAGTACAGTATTTACAAGTTGTTGCTGGCCAATAGAATAGCTGTTTGAGTTTGATATAAATTTTATGATGAAATGAGACTACTTAGATAATACAGTATTTCCGTATGTATGAGATGAGTATTACTGTTTATTAGTATGGAGGTATAATGATTTATTGGTAACCAGTGTGCACTGAACCATGAAATATTTTGCCTCTACTTTCACATCATGACCATATATAGTTTATATAATTATATATAATTTATCTGTGGCTTGCCCAGTAGATAACATAAATGCTATTGTCTCTCTGCTTGTTACAAGTTAGTGTTAGATTATTATTTTTATTAAAAAAAATATCCTCTGGATCACCGTATCACCTTGAAAATGTACCTTGATATAAAAAAAATCCATCGAAATGAAGTTATAACTTAGAATTATGTTTATATCACTTATCTAGACTCATGAAAGAGTTTTGTCCCTAAACCTTGAGGGTGTTAAATGATGTTTTTGCAGAACAATGTTTTTTTTTGGGCTGCAATTAATATGCCTTTGTAAAATGAATCCTGCCTGTGTGCCAACAAAAATGTACTGTAAGAAGTCAGTTTTTAATAACTTATAAGTACAGTAACTTTTAATTTCATCTTTGTATATTTATATTAATCTAATTTATAATTTACATTCCAAATTCAAATTACTGAAATATTATTCACCTTGAAAAATACACTGAAAATCTACACCTTGGATGATCTTATACACTTCAACTCTCCCAACAATGACAGTGCAAGAGATTACCATATGATTGGTATGGGTTCGAAATTCAAGATCCCTGACAGAGGCCACACCCACCCAGTGGCGGCACCAGCGGACAGACCATAAAAAAAATATAAAAATTGGCCCACACCAAGCCAACCCATGTCTGTCACAGTCTGAGAGTGCCATTTCCAGCCATCCAGAGGTTGCTATTCTTTAAAAAAAATCTCATTTGGGAGGGAGAACCCTCTGTCAACCCCTTCTCCTTGCTCAGGCTTACGATCTCAAGTCCCCCAGAAAATATATCCTAGAGCTGCCACTGCACCCACTTTAGTTCCTCCAGGGTTCAGGGTTCCCCTGGTGCTGCCACTGTCTCCGCCACTACCAATATTGCTGAAATTACAACATAACCTCCCGATAAGTTTTTCTAGATCTTATTATGGTACAGACTCTAGAAAATTGCACATCCCCCACCACCCCCAGGTAGCAACAAAAAAAATAAATTAGAAATTACATTGACAGTAATATGACTGGAACAAAAGCTACAGTTTGCTCCACAGGCCCCACACACTATAACACTATAGGGAACAACCTAAACTTTCCCAGGTTTTTGATTGGCGCTCCATGTGACCACTCTCCCACCCCCACCCCCTCCCATTTAAGGTGTTATTTTCGTATTGTCATGGTTGTTTATACAAGATCCATAAAGAGGCTCTTAAGAACCCTTGCTTCGTATGTACATGTGTTGATCCCTTCGTGGATCCTCTCCTCCGCTAACGGCTGCTCCACTTGGACTATGACATCACGGCCATACACTGCATCAAAAACAAATTTATATAATTATAAGGATGTTAGATATTTTGAAAAGTATACTAATAATCAATCCCTAGGTCCTCCAATATGAGGTCAAACTGGCATATTTAATTATGACTTTAATGATTTAATAATGGGACTTCTGGCTCATTAATTCATATTCTAAGCAATGGCTTTTCTAAAAGTAGCAAGAACATTTTTGTGGCATAATAAATAAATGAAAAATGAGTAAACTGAACACATAAACTTTATGCTATGAAAGGTTTTTTACAAATGGCCAAGAACTCACCTTCACAATGCTCCAGGAACTGAATACATTCTTGAATCACGCTGTCTCGCAACATGATCATGTGCTTGGCCATGTTTTCTAGCAACGACAGGAAACAACGTTTTGCATAGAACCATGTGTCTGTGCCAAGCTGTCAGTAAATATCAATTGTATCATTATTATGAAGGAAGAGTGGTAGCTAACAACAGATAGAAAGTGTTGCAGGAAGGCAGCACCCAGCAGTGGGTCAACGAATCTGAATAACTGAATCTTTGCTTGATTGATTGGAAATTAATAGCCATAAAAAAACTTCCATAATAAATACACTCAAACATGTACAGTACATAAATTTGAATGAATAAGAAATTAAAAAAAAAAAATTAAGTAAACAATCATGAAATAAAATAAAAATTTCTAATGGACTCACCTTCTTACTGTAGGGCTCCAAGCTTTTAATGACACGTGATATTCCAAATTCGTAGTTACCCTTAGCGCAGTACAGCGTACCAATAACCAGATTCACGATGCACAAGTGGTAAATCTTGCGATCTGGGTCATCATAGGCTACTTGCTCTTCTTCCTTCTCAATCTTTCGCATTAATTCCTCAGCCTGTTAAGAGAGATAACAAAGTAAAAACAACAAAACTAAACAAAAACAACAAAACTAAAGCCCTGGCCAGCTGAGACTATCAGTTATTTTATTTGACAAAAACATGTGACATGCCTAAATATGGTCATGATGACATCACAACATGAAAATATATAGCCACACAATGACTAAATATGGGTATACAGCAGTTTTTACAAACAGAAATTAAAGTTAGTCTATATTGCAGTCAACAAATATATTATTTATAACTACTTTTATATATGTCAGGAAAAATATAGATATGATAAGCTTCTAGCAATTTTCTCTTTAATACCTAAAAGTTAATTAGTCATTAATAATACTAACAAAACAATAAAATAATAATCATGATAATATCAATGACATTAAATTTAAATAATATTTATAATTCAATTCAATTCAAATTTGTCCAAAAGGAAACGTCATTGCTCATAAAATTACAAGATAAAAAAATACATCAATATAAAAAAAATACATTAATGATAAAAACAATAATAAAAAGCAAATAAAAGTAACTAGAGTAATATTATCTATAATGATATTGATTGATTGATTAATTGATTGATTGATTGATTCAAAATGATACTTACTTCCTCATTCTGACTTGTCATGATGTAAGACACACACAAGTTGGCCAACACAATTGCACTAATCGACAAGATCTGTCAGACAGAAAAACATTTTACATAATGTAATTACTAAAGTTTAAACAAAATACGAAACATATTCATTAGAATCAATTTTAAAAATGTATGGTTAAATCATTTATAGAACATCAATTTTTACCATTGAACAATTAAAATATAACTAAATAAAATCAAAGTCTTACATTGTCAAAATTCTTTTTTACAATTGGTTCATAAAATCCAGCAGCTTCTTTGTATTTATTCTCTTGCATAAACAACACATGTGCTACGTTAAGTTTCCACGCGTCATGCTCGTTGCAGAATTCAACCGATTTACGAAATATCTTTTCTACTTGTTTGTAGTTATCTCGGTCCCAGTAGATCTTAGCTTGCTGCATCAGTACAGGAATGTATCTGTATCAAAGAGTTTCAGAGATTGACAGTCTCAATTTTGAGTTTAGGGCTTCAGATTAGAAGATAAAAAAATCATTTTTCCAAACGAAGTTGTCATTAAGACAGCTAAAGCTACAGAAATTGAAACTGTAAATTAAATTACTATGCAACAACAGCTGTAAGGACAGAGTGCACCCTCCAATTTGAGAACCCTCTAATTCCAAGACCCCCCTTATTTTGAGACCACTTTTTTAAAGAACTAAATAACAATCTCCAATCTATTAACACTAAGCTAACCCTCTATGTTGAGACTGAACCCTGAGACCACCCCAGATTTTCAGGTTTCAAAGGTGGTCTGGAATTGGAGAGTGAACTGTATCGAACACTATGTTATCATTAATACTATCACATTTTCCCATATGAACTAATCCACTCTAAGGTTTCTGTGTAACACTTACCTTTCAAGAGCATCATCGTATTCATTGACCGCCTGTTTGACGGCATCATCGTCATGATTTTGCCGCGACTCTTGCACTTGTTTGGTCAGTTTCCGCAACTGTTCGGTGTGCCGTGTTGCCATCTCGTCAAAGCGACGATAGGCTTCTTCAGGTGCAGTTTGCTTCGTGATAACAGAGTCTAAGAAATCGTACAGGTACTGACTTAAAAACTTAAATGTAAGGTGTGCATTTTCTGCTAAGACATCCGCTGCTAAGTCATAATACTGGAAAATAAGACAGAATAAACATACGGTAATTTTATTGTAAATCCATTTAAACATAGAGCTGTTTAAAGAACAATAATTGAGAAATCAGCCTTCAAAATTTATGATTTTGGGCATTTCTCTGGCCGAAACCATCACCAAATCGTTGAAAATTGTTGTTTTAACATTGAAAATGGGGAAACTAACAGAATAGCATGATGTATAGATATATAAAGGTTAGTTTAGTGCAATCAAATAGAATTTTAAAATTCCAGCATGGTTTGGGGCATTATCTCTGAAACAGGATTTGCGACGAGTGACTGGTTTGGCTTGCCTTTGCCACATTTGCAAATGGGATAACAGAAAAGTGGTCTGTAATTAGAGGTGGCCTTCAATTGGAGCAGTCTTTAATCAGAGGAAGACCAGTTCTTAATTTAAAAACTCCACAATGTCTATTTATTAATAGTCCAGGAAAAGTTACCTTTTAGAAATGTAAAGGATATGTTAATTATTTATCATTAATATCCTCATTATCAATATCATCATCATTATTTTCAACAACATTGATGATGAATTTATTCTTACCTCATACTTGATATAGAGTATAAGTAAATTCCCAAATGTTTCTGGAGGGAATGGATTTTGTTGCAACAGAAACTGGAGCTTTTCAAATCCTTGGGTTGGATTTGCTTCCATATTCATTAATGCCTGATTGTGTAGCGTCACAGGGTCTAACTCCTAGCAATTAAGGAAAGAGGATGCAAAAATATAAAAATTTAGCCTGACAGGAACAACAAAAGTGGAAAATTACTGTCATGAAAAATGTGATATTAAGAATATATTAGGTAAAATTTATTTTTATTTTAAAACTTATGTATGTTTGATTGATTGATGTCAACTACTCACCTCTTCTGCTCTTGGTGGCATGTCTGTCAATGCCTCTTGTGCAGCTTCCACTAAAAAAAAAACAATCAAAAAGAATTAAAAATTTCATCTTTTAAAACGGTTTATAACTTTGTCTGAGTTTCATGGGAACAGTTCATACATAGCATGTTATGATCCTTTAAGCTACCGCATTATTTTTTCATTTACTTTCAACTCACAATTCTTCAACTGGAATTCAATTGCAGCTTTCAGGTTGAAGGCTTCGATGAGGGCAGTCTCATGAAGGACAAGGGTGTTACCCACACTCCGTACCTCAATTCCTTCTGTTGTCATCCCAACGCTTAGCTCTACAAACAACAAAATTAGTTAATGGTTAATATTTCATTTTAAATAAAAGAAAACATACCTAACATTCAAACTTTTGATTATGACCTGTGACCTGTGACCTGATTCTCACCTGGATGTTCTCGGATGCCACGTTCAATGATGTCAGCGATGTTCTTGAGGGCTGGGGCATACTGCTTCATACTGTAGTGACACAGAGCAATGTTGTAGGACAGATCTGCAAAATAATTAATATAATTACTCAGCTATTTACAAGAATGAGCTTTAACTTATAAACAAATTTTACAAGCAGAAGAGAGAAAGCATGGAAAGTGTGCATGGTTTTTAAATATTGTAGTCCACAGTTGTCGAGTTATCCAATCATCTGCTGAGGCATACCTGGTCTGTAGCCCAAGATCTGTAGTGCTGTTTGGAACTTTTGGCAGGCTACTTCATAGCGACCTTCCTTGAACAATAAGCAGCCTAGGTTCACCTCTGTGTCAGGGTCTTCAGCAGATGATTGTTCAACTAGGCTCTAGAGAAAAAAAGAAAAAAAGTAATAATCATGTACAATACATGTTGATATGGTACCAGAAAATGAGAAGTATACTATGAATGCTATATTTAACTTTCTTATTATAATCATGCAATCAACAAGCTAAAACAATCATTTTTGTTTTCATTGTATCTATTATGACCTTCTGTAAAACAGCCATTTGGTTGAAAAGTTAATAATGTTACAAAGTGATAGTATTACACAATGAAAATGTATGTGGCTATTATAACAAGTAACAAGCAATATAGATATACACAATGCTGTATTGTAAGCATTTGTGTAATAAAAAGTTCATAAATCAGTAAAAAATGCATTTATTTAAATTTAAAATAAAGAAATAACTGTGCTTACTTTGGCTGCTGGTAAGTCTTCTTCTCCATATTTGATAGCTGCTTGAAGTTTGGTTATCTATTGAATGATAAAATTGATAAATTAAAATCAAAAAGTACAATACAAAAACCTCATTTCTCCGTGATGACAATGTTCTATGTTGCAGAACAAGTCAAAATGAATGAAAATATCATCCGACAGACAAAACAACTTCATTGGCCATGATGTTTGTCAGGTCAAAAAGAGAAACATTTTATTTCTTTTTGTAGAAGAACGCTGGGTATACTACATGCCAAAATGTCTTGAAACAGTTTAAAATTGCCCAAAAGTTTTTTTTAGAAGCCAGTGGGCTTAGATCTGAGCTCTCTGTGTGTGGTATTGCTTAAGGAGGAAAAAAGGCACCTTAACTTTCCCATTTCAACAAATTCTGGCCTATTAATACCTTGCTTTGGTAGTTCTTGTTCTCTATCTGAAATGTAACTTTCACAGCCTCTTGGTACATGCACGCATTGTAGAGGGATTGTGAATAGTACAACTTGTATTCCTCCACCTCGGGGTTGATCTCTACCAACTGTTGGTAGCATTCAGCTGCATTGTTGAAGTCCTGTATCTGATAGTAGCAATACCCTAACAGGGACAGGGCTGCTCTTGACTAAGGAGGTAAGCATGAGTCAAAGTTAAGTAATAATCTGGTGTGCTTAGTATTATCTAAAGTAGTACACTCAGAAGACATTACCGTATGTAGGTTTGTTATGTAAAACGATAGCATTAATATGCAATTTTAGAAACTTATCAATTCATAGTAATAATATCAAATACATGAAAATGTGTTCATACCTTTGGGTGGTTTTGTAATTCTTTTGATAATATCTGTATTGCATCAACAAACTTTCCATCTTTAATCTGAAAAAAGCAAAACACAAAAAGGTCATACGAATGGAATGAATGTTATCTATTTGTATCCTTCACCCTCATGTTTTGTAAGCTACACCAAACTTTTGTATTGTTTTAAAGAAATTCAATAATTAGGCATTATTATACACATTAAAGTTCCAATCATCCATCACTCAGTGCATCGGGCAGGCCTATTCAGTACATAAAATATGAAAATGTTATTATTTATTAAATATCTCATCATCATCCTCGTCATCAAACCAATTTTTTCAGACTTCGGCTAAGCCTACTGTGGTCTGCTACTACAAATACAGGACTAGGCCTAGGCTACCTATATAGCCTATATATAAATTATTGAGTTACTGTGTAGAACTTAAGGTAGGCCGAGCTAGACCCACTCTCTAGGCCTTGAGGCTAGGCTACACAGTAACAAACCATTACCTTCTCCTATACTTAGGGCCTAGCTAGCACGGAGGACTAGACTATACTTGCTTGGGCTAGGGTAGGCCTAGCCTACCTAGGCTTAGCCTACGGGCTAGCCTAGGCCTATCTATTTATAATAACAGGCCTCCTAGGCCTAGGCCTAGTCGTCCTTCCTAGGGCTAGCCTAGGCCTAGAGGAGCGAGTCCTAGAAAATATAATGACGTTGTATTTTTCTATTTACAACGAACACACATATACCTACCATTGAATAAATAACAGATGTATATTCACCATCCTTGACATCGAACGTAGCCATGACACCTTTATTAATATTATTTACTTTTCTAGTTTTAAAGCATTCCGTTGTTATGACAGCCTTTCTGTCGCGAGAAGAGATCGACTTCAGGTATTCATCAACAATGCGCATGTCCTTGTGCGAGATTGTAGAGGGCGGCATTAAAAAAAGAGAGGCCTGGAAAAAATTTTGATTTGTACGTGGTGTGATTTTGTTTTTTTTTTGCTGGAGTGGAGTTTGTGTGAGTTCAGCTGTAACATATGCATTAAAACTGTTTATCTTTTTCCAATGCAACTCATGCCGTGAATAATTTGTAAGTATACCGTTTTGGGCTTCACGAAGTACAGAGTGTTTATTATACTTAGCGTTGTGTAAGCTCCACGTTTCATGATTAAAAGTGCAACCTCGGCTAGGCCTAAGCCAGGCCCTAGTCTACTACTACTAGCCTACTAGCAAGCCGAAGTTTGTTTGCCTTCTTAAAGTCTACGTGGATGGATGGATTCGTGAGGGTGGGGTGGCTGTTTGAAAATGTGGTGCTGATGTAGTTGCTATTTTAGTTGTTCATCCTTGATAATGTTGATTAGATAGTCTTACTCTAGTAATTTTAGGCCTACCCAGGTTCATACTTAGTGCATGAAGCAGTGTGTTATTTTAATTCCAAATACTGGTGTGTTATTAGTGTTCGAGAAAAAATAATTGAACTGTGACACCATAAATAATAGTAAATATACATAGCCTAGTTGACAATCAGTGCAATAGAATACATAACAATATATTGTTATATTGTGAATATAATGAAAGATTGACCTGGTTATTTTATTTGTCAGCTTGCATTCCTCTACCTGCAAACTGTGCAGGGAAGTCTTATTCTTTATTTTTCCACAGTTTGTAGTGACTGCATGTAAACATGCAGAGTTAGCAAACTATTTTCACAAATGCTAAGTAATTCTATACAGATTGTTGTACAATTTGAAATTTGGCAAGAAAGTTTTTTTTAGTGTGATTTTGTAACCCTGGAGCTAACAATAAATTTAGGGGTATTGTGATCAATCCATCATTGTATTCCACAATAATTTATTTAGATTGAAATTCTGAATGTTCAAGACCACAACATGATCTCGACGTGATGATGATCTTAAATGTAGACTGGGGATGCAAGGGTTGCGGGCACACCCACCCCATGGCGGCAAATTTATTCCCCTAAGTGGGTTATAAAAATGACGACCATTGAATACATATTTAGTTCCACATTCTAATTTTTTTTTTCAGGCCAAAACCAGCATAATATGCCCCCACATTGTACTTGCTTACAACGTGTTACACACATTCTGTGAAATAAACCAGCATAAATTTTCTACATTATGTCATAGTAGGCATCAGAATAGTTTTTATAGGTTGATGATGCATAATATTGTAAATTATTTTTTTTATTGCCATATTGTTTCATAAGAAACTCATAATTTAGCTATAGATTCATTGCAATTTGTGTCTGTTATTTAGAAAGGAAAATATTTGTTCCATTTTTCATTTTCAAGCTAAAAGCTACCAAGTTTTATTGTACAGTTTATTAGCCCTATATATTTTTATGGGTTTGTTAGGGTAGGATTGTCGGTTATTAAAGAATAGGTTAAAACGTATCTATTCTGATGCCCAATATGACATATTGTAGTAAATTGGTCCTGGTTTATTTCACTTAATTTTGCAACACATTTACCATAAATTGTAAACAAATGTGCCAGTTTTGAACCGGTACAGTAGATTCTGTGTTATAAAAGTCAATTAAGCGTAGGGCACTTTTACTTGAAAAGTTTTCATTATATTACAGTTAAAATGTATAGTGTGCTAGTCTACTTTCTACTTATTTTATTATTTAACATTGCAGGCAACAGTCAAGTGTGCAATTTTTTTTTTCAACTGACAGGTTTATGATCAGTTTTTAGTATATTACAGTTCAAATGTATATGTGCTGGTCGATTTTCTACTTATTTTATTTATTATTTTAATATATATGTGCTGGTCTATTTTATACTTATTTTATTCTTACTAATATTCAATATTGCAGGCAACTTTTATGTATGCAAATTTGGATTTTCAACTGACAAGTTTATGATCAGTGGGTACAGTAGCAGCTGGTTCTGCTCTTTACAATTAAGAATATGAATCTAAAACACCTGTGCAGATATTCTAAGCAAGCATTACTGACCTATGACCCTGAAAAGGTCAAGTATGTAGACAGGATTAACAGTGATCACATATTAATGCTATTATATATATTGTTGCCATGCCAACCACAAGAGTTGTATTGTAAAAATCTAATGATCTTCTCTCCTAAACCTTGATTTGATGTGTTCCAATATTGAAACATATCTAAAATAAAAAATATTTACAATTGGTATTTAATATTAATCAGGATTTGGGAAGCTCATTATATTAAACTATTCCAGCAACACTATTTTCAAGAATCAACATGATCAAAAATACATATTGTACAGTAGTAGTACAGTATAAGCATGGGCCTACATGCACAATGTTCGTGAAAGAATATTCTAGGAAGAACAAATCAAATTTTCTCAGTTACAGATGGTTGTTTTGTCACAGTCAATTAACTTGAAGACACTTTTTGGCAGTTACCACATAAAAATTACTTAGAGCACATTATCTAATTATCAATGCTAAATTAAATATTTTGCTAAGCATAGTCAGTGTCTGAACCACGTTGGAGGCTTGCCAACAGATATAGCATCCAGGGTCTGCCGGATAGTACTTGAGGAAGTGACCTCCTCAAATGCCATCTGCTATCAATAACAACATGTTTAGTAAAGATTTTATTGTGGAGTTCACTCAAACTTTCATAATATTGTTGTTTGAAATTGGAGAAGCAAAATCTTTTATCTTATAATCTATGGATTGCAGCATATTTTTGCTCAGTGGAACGGCCAGGATAATAAGAACTATAATGCTGCTGATAATTTATTCTAGAATAATAATGTTGGATTTCAACCGTAAATGCGAGAATATTTTTAATATTCCGTTACTTGTATGTAAAAGTTTAAAGAATGCAGAACTTTGGACAAATAATAATAGTGGAAATTTTTTGCATTGTGTTTTTATTTCAGTTTCCATAACAACCAGAATTTTCATATCCATAATCTATTTTATATCTATACATCATTTTTTAAAACCTCCATGATGTGCCTTACATTACAGTATAAATGAAAATGCATCTAGAGTATTTTTTAGTTTCCTGCCCTCAACATTATTGCCTATGCAATTCAATGAATAATGACTTGTTTCTTATTTTAGCATTTGGTATGGGACAAAGTTCAAAGGGCTTTATTTGGTAAAGTGATTTGACATGACAGTGCAGGCCCAAGCTCAAGTATTAGTCCCTCACATGGGGTCCCAACGGAAACCTAGATGGTTCTTTGGTGGCTTATCGTCAGCTTGTGCTGTGTGTATCACTCACCCGCTAGACTTAATCAAGGTAAACTGCCGAAATATTTGTTTTTGTTAAATTGCAGTGCACTTATTTATTTAAGGTAGCAAATGATGGAGTACTACCTCAGAGAGTGGAGTATGTGTTTCATAGGTATCGTTCTGATTGGGGGGGGGGGGGGAGGTCTGATTGGGGGGGGGGGAAGGGGTGGTGATAATGTTGGTGCTCTTAGACTTTAGAACTCTGTAGAGTGCTACAGAAACACCAACATAATGTAGACCTCATTATTCTTCATGCTGCAGACAACATGATAATTAAGTATTGTTTTTATTAATTACCAGTTTTTGTTCATTTATAGGTCCATTTACAAACACAGCAGGAGGTAAAAAAGCGTGGATTTCATTTCGCAGCCAAGATTATTAAACATAACGGCATTACTGCACTATACAATGGCCTTTCTGCATCAATAGGAAGACAGGTATGTCACCAAAACCTGTTAAATTTCTTTGACAACAGTTAATTATAATTAGACATCATACTTGGTAATGGTAATGGGCGTGTACTTGTATAGCACATATTACAAATGCATTCCCTTGCACTTTATTAAGCAAAAGGAAAGAACAAAAATCTAAACCAAAAAATATTCTAAAACTAATAAGGAGAAACAATCAAAAAGACCAAGAGAAAATAGTGGAAGGAACCAGTGTCATTGCTCTGTTCTCCAGCACTTTGAGAACTCCTCCCAAGGTAACACATTTACAGATTCATTATCGTTTACAGTATGAATCATATCGTTCACAGTGTTTGTATTGGTAATGTTTATGGTGATGGTTAATCATGATCCCAGTTATGTGTTTAGTGGTGGAGTTAGTATAGTATGTGATGATGTTAGTCTGATAATGGGGTGATGTCACTCCCTCTTATCTGATATGTTCTTTTATTTGTCATTGCAGTTGACCTACTCTTTGACCAGATTTGCAATTTATGACTCTGTAAAAAACCACCTGACAGATGACAATCCTAATCTTCAATTGCCATTCTATCAGAAAGCTGTCTTAGCAATGTTCGCAGGTAAGAGTTAAAGGGGTACCGGTAGAAATTTGAGGCATCACAGTGTAGCATCAAGGGTGCGGCTCTAGGATCTATATCCAAAGGAGTCTAACTAAGCGATGAGAGACATGAGGCCGCAGGTCCCTGGTCAGTGTAATAGAAAAAGGCTTTTTTGTGCTCCAGATAATTGAGCTCCCTGGTGCACAAAGGTATTATTTTTAGTGTAATCATAATTAGATTGACAGAGGGCTTGGCCCCTCTCTGAAGGGAATTAAGCCACACACTGGTGCTACCATTATATACTGTTTCCTAAGGCACGTATCTGTAGCCCTCTATAATTCATCTTAGCCAACTTGATAGCCATCTTCAGTGTCATGTGAAGGGGGATGGTGGGGTGGATGGTGACTGCTGTGCATGGTAACAATTCTGAACCAATACATTGAGAAAAGGGGTTATCAATTAAGATCCATTAAAAGTAGGCAGCCCTGGAATTATCTTGTTGATGCACAGAATTCACTTTTATAGGCTGGACTCTCACACCATCTGTAATTGGTCAATTTGTTCTCTTCTTATTTACTTACCCTTTATGTTTTTAACTACAGGTGCATGTGGTGGTTTCATTGGTACACCACCAGACATGATAAACGTTCGTATGCAAAATGATGTGAAATTACCAGTGGAAAAAAGGAGAAAGTAAGTAAATGAAAAAAAAATGAAAGAAGGAATATACCAAATAAAAGATAATTTTAGTGTCCGAAAAATCAGAATTTAGTTTACACCAGCAATTTTACAAAGTATAAAAAACATAAAAGATTAGTAACATGATATACAGTATACAACATTTGTTATATTAAAAAAAAAAAAAACTATTATTCATTGATTTATATTAATATTTATAGTAATAGTAATTAAAAGCTTTAATATAAAATTGTTGTAATTTGTTTTGTTTTATAGTTACAAACATGTTTTTGATGGTCTGTGGCGTGTCTATACAGAAGGTATTGTAACAAACCTCTTATCAGTTTTATTTATTGTCATTTCTCATATCCTAAAATGATATATTCAAATACATATGGATTATATATTCTTTCTCACTTTTACCTTGCAGAGGGAATTAGAAAGATGTATTTTGGTGCATCAATGGTGGTGGTTCGAGCCATGCTAATGACATTTGGTCAGGTAGGTAAAACAAATTTACATTTGGCATCCTATTCCATCTGTGTTTACTTAAGTTCAGCTTTGTCATGCCTAGATCGACTGTTTTGTCTATGACACTTAGTACACAGAACACACAGAGAATTGTATGTGATATAGAAATGGATTAATATTTTATAATAATTTAATGAGGTTCAGAGAAATATATGATTTTGTTGTGTCATTGTTTCTGGCATTGTAAAATATAGTGCACAGTGAACCGTGCAAACTTGTTTTTTTCTTGTATTTTTATATTAATTGGTAGGAATGATGTTTTGTACTGAATGCTCAGTACGTTTCCAAATATCTTATTTGAGTGGGAGTCGAACCCACGACCTCCAAGTATCTAGCCCGGTTTCGTAACCACTTGACCACCAGGCTTGCGCTTTGTGGTTAGGTTCAATTAGCAGCGTGTACTGCAATGATGTTTTTAGAAAATTTAAAGGGAATGATGTCGTACTGAATACTCAGTACGTTCACATTCTATTTATAATATTGTCATTTAAAAATACTTTGATTTGTTTTGCAGCTATCCTTATATGATCAATACAAACAAATGCTACTACAAACTAAATATTTTGAAGACAACACGGTAACTCATTTCACAGCCAGTCTTTGTGCAGTAAGTAGAAGTTAATAATAATGCATTTATAATGCGCCATCTATCTAGGTAAACCTATTCCGAGGTTTATCACAACAAAGAGAAAGAAAAAAGAAATTACAATGCTGAAACAAAAATATCTGTGTGTTGAGTGTTATGTTGTTTTATGCACACATTAAATCAACTCTTTTTCCTTTCTATATAGTCATACCAGTGTCGGATTGAAGGGGCCCCGCACCACCCCCTAAATTTTTCCAAAAAAAAAAAATAGAAAAAAAGGAACATTTTAATCAAATTTAGGTCTTAGAGTGCTGTTCAAGCCATCGTATAAGTACCATAATCATAAATTTTTTAGCCATCTGTGAAAGTGCCTCCCTGGCCCCCCCCCCCCCCCCCCCCCACGTTTACTTTGATACTAAAGATCCTAGGCCAAAAAAAAAAAAAAGTTGAATAAAAGCTATTAATAGAGAAGAATTATTGGAGTGAACATCTAGATGTGCTTGCGGTTATATCTCTTTTTTTTTTGTCAATTCTACATATATAGGCAACTTGTGCTACTGCCATCACCCAGCCATTTGATGTAATGAAGACGAGGATGATGAACTCACCAACAGGGTTGTACAAGGTAGGCATTATTTCAGTAGTGTAACCACCACGTTCACTTTGAAACTAAAAATTGGCTATCCTGAGAGCTTGCTAAATGGCATAAAATACAGGCTTATGATGTTTAAGATAGTCAAACATGTTATGATATCTGTTTGATTTAATTTTCATTGCTATGCAAGCAATCAAGCGCTATTATATGCCCAAAAGAACTGTGCATTACTCTACTAATGGTCCTAGTGATTGCATACCTCGCCCTAATTTAGTATGCATCCAGGGGTAGGGACGTTACTCTGCATACCCCACCTTACTCAAACTATGCATCATGAAATAGGGAATATGAATTAATCTGTGATTGTTCCTTTTGCTTTATTTTACAGAATGTGTTGCAGTGTGGGATTCATATTGCAAAACTTGGGCCAATAGCATTCTACAAAGGGTTTGTTCCAGCATGGATAAGGCTTGGACCACATACAATTTTGACATTTATTTTCTTTGAACAATTTAAAAAACATTTTGGAATTGTTCCAAAAGTATGATCTTTAGACAACCTACAAGTTGGGCACATTTTTATTTCTGCTTTTGTTATATATTTTAAATATATATACAGTGTCTTGCGATCTAAACAAAAAAAAATCAATTCAATACTGTATAGCTTTATATAATTAAGGCGAGACGTTTTCATATCTTGTTTAGTGAACCTGCCGTCCGCTAAGGATAATTTTGAATAAAAATAAAAATAAAATTTTATTTTTTGCCAATTAGCTACCAGAAAAAAATGGAAGTTTCAGAAAAAAATAAAGGTTTTTATTACTCCTGCCAATGCGGGAATAAGATCTATATATATTTCTTCCTAATTATATAAATTTAAAGTATTTAACCATCTCATTACTACACTCTTTACATTCACCAATCAAATTTTATTTTTATTTTCTCCTCCGTCCAAATGTTTTTGTCAAAAAACCTCCTCCTCCTCCTCTGAAGAATTGCAAATTAGAATGAGAAAGTATTTTCATTGCTTAAATTTACCAGGTAGTCAGTAGTTTAGATCGGTGTCCGATACAGAGTATCTTTAAATACAGTTGAATGAATCAAAAATGGCATTGAAAAATTGTTCCAACACAAGATAAAATTAGACTTACAAATCGTAAATGAATAGAAAACACAACAATTTGGCATGTAAAATAAGATCAAATTATAAATTATTTGAGTTGGGCACAGTTGACAAGTTTAACTGTGGGGCACGGGTGGATGCAGTGATATCACCAGGACCTGCCCGACGGGGGGCTAGTGGAGCGAATCGAGTCTTACTTAGCTGGGGGCTAGAGGGCCGCACCCCCTGGAAGCCACAGATTTTTGATGAATTATGGCGAATTTTTATTACTTATTTGATAGGCATCGGGTTACTGTAATATCACTTCGTGTAGGCTGTTTTCTAATGTCAAAATCAGCTTCCAAAACCAAAAAATTTTGAATAAAACGAGAAACAGAGAGTATGCAATGTACCCATCTAATATATTTTCAAATCCTCATTCTTGAAAGTGAAATTTTGCATGAAATCCATCAACCACGCGGTCAAGGTCGAGGTTGCTCCAAGCATCATGAGGGTATCCAAACAAACATTTGTCATAACAGAACGCAAATTATTTTTAATTAGTCTCATTGAACTATTATGATCAAAAGTTAACACAAATAGTTTAATAAAAACAATATGGTGGCTAAACAAACATTACATGTAAATATTTTTTTTTCTTTGTTCCCCAACAAAATTTACTCATCTTCCGCTTACCGTGATAGGCAATCAACCCAGTAACATGGGATGTGAAAGCAAGCATCTTAACCACCAAGCTATTCAAATCTACTTGCCTGACAGGGTTCTGAGCTTCCTAACGAAAAAATGTGGGCGTGGTCGGGCATTGCTCAAAAGTGTTGCCAGCTCTCCCTAGTCCCTTGAGCAAAATATGTGCCACGCCTAAAACCTAAGAATGCATCACTTCCTTGTAGATTTGAAAATAGTGTTATGAGGTTTTAAAGGTGAAGTGTTAAATGAAGTGTTACGGAATAGTACCGATTGGGGTTGATGGCACCTTTAAAAAATATTTTACCTATATTTATTCTTTTTATGTAAAACTTTCTGGTATGGTGCTTCCATGTTCGAGCCAATAAAATATATGTAATCTAGTCCTCCATAAATACTTTGTATTCATAGAAACATTGCTCATTTGGCGTGTTCTGTGTGCTACATATTGGACTGAATTTTGAAACTCATGTTACCTAGCTAACAGTAATAATTGTAATTATGTAGAGAAATGCTTTTACCTAGACATTCCAATTTTTAAATTCAGCACCTGTATGAATAGTAAAGAAAAAATCTACTGTACTTTTTTTTATTTACAACTAAATATACAGTAAAAAACATTTGAAAACTGCCAATAAATATGCTATTTTTTTTGCATCACCACCTATTAAAGGATAGCTTGTGGGGGGATTTATTTTATTTGACAGTACTGTATTTTGTATATTTTAACTAAAGCACAAAGCTACTGAACTTTACTGTATTTTTTATTTATAAAACAGCCAATGAATATTTGTTGCATTACAGCCTGTATAATTGTACCTAAAGCACAAAACTACACTACACAAAAACTGACAATGAAACGCTATTCCTATTAAGATGTATTTTTGTTGTATCAGTGTCGAGACAAAATAGTTTGCATAATTAGGGTGTTTATCTTTTTTCCTGCATTAGCGGTAGAACGAAGATCATGTATTAGTACAGTATTATTCATTAAATGTGAATAGAGAAGTATTTTGGCATTCTTTCTTGTTCTTCATAGTCTAAGTTAATGCAAAAATGAATTTTTGCTTGGACAGGGTGAACCTAGACGAATTCTCTGGTTCCCCACGGGAAAAAACTTCATGCACTGCATTCGTACAGTATTTCTTTTTACAGATTATCAGTCTCTTGGGTATTAAAATTAAGGGTTTTCTATCAAAGATGGTAGGCAGGATGCACTTTCCCAAACTGTGGTGTAATGGTTATTTATGGTTAGTTTTCAATAATTCATATTATGAAAATATATACAGTATCTATCTAAAAAGCTCAGCCTTGTACACTTTACATATACTAGAAATTGCAAGTGAAGTGCTGCGAAGTACAACTGCATATTGTTCTTCGAACAAAATTATTTATGCGAGTCTAAGTGAAAATAATGAATAAAAATAATATAACAAATAATATGAGACACGACCCATTGTCTATATTAGAACACTTCTCATTGGGTAACAAAGTCGTAATTTTTCATTTTTGTCAAAAAGTGTCTATAGTGGTGAATTATGGTTTAGGTTTTTTTTAATAAAATTTCAAAAATGTCTATGTATGTGGAAAATGTAGTTGATTACCAAAGGTTACAATTTTTATTTTGAAGACTGCATGGTCTAGGAAGTGTACATTTTTTTATGGGGCAAGTTTCCAAGGGCGGGTTTTCTAGGGGCCAGTTGACTGCCAAAGAATGTTGCTAAAGTGCGAGACATCGCGACAATAGATACAAGACGTTACTCGAGTTGTGCGAGGTATCGGCTGAGATTTGTGGAGTACAATTCAAAAAACAACTATAGGTCTAATAATGAATTATTGTGATGTTAAATAGACAATGTTAGCTATCAAAGAGC